GAAGTTCAAATTGGTGATAGAATAGTTTTTTTTTCTTTATTTCTATTTTACTCTTACTCTTATATCAAGTGAATTTCAATCATATATTTATCAATTCATGCAGAAATACAAGGGTGAGAATAGATTTCTGGGTATATTTGCCTGCCAAAAATCCTCCACCCCTGCAGGTACCGGGCCCAGGTATCCAGGTACCCGCCCTGGTGGGTGCGGGTTAGAGATGGCTCTGTTGCATCCGGAAATCTTTGCGGATTTGGATATCCACTTGCTTTTTCAGCAGAATCAGACATCCAAATCCAAATCTGCATCCACATCCACCGGCGCTTATCCATCTGCCTTAGCAGGTATCCACAGCTGCGGCTGCAGGCCCAACAGGCCAAATGTGGACAGGTATCCCTGGAGATACCCGGATATTGGCTAAGATCTCAAGGAAAATTGTAAATCTACACCCAAATCCAAATACTCTGGCAGGTATCCGCAATGGATACCCTGAGGCCATCTCTGGTGCGGTGTGGTAAGCCACTCCTAAAAATTCAAAGTTATCAATAGCACAAATCACAGAAGAATCACACAGTCAAGACACCCCAGAAAGCTCCCCAGACCCCCAAACCAATCATGAATCCCCTCAAGCACAGACCACATGGATAATAATATTTACCAGCAGAAACTCCACACCCTTGAAATTCATTCCCCTCCAAACAATTCCATTCTTCCTCCCCCTGGTGTCTCACACTAGTAACAATCCCCTTGGCCATGAAACTGTTATTTCCTCCTATCTCCTTCCATGGAATATTCCACCCCTTAGTTGTTTCATACTAGTAAACTTGGGAGCATTTGCCCACTGCCTATTTCCCCTGTTTCTATGGATAAATATATTTTCTCTTGTTTCATGCTCTCATAGAATGTTCCATTTATCTTCCAACCACAAGCTGGCCACTCCCCAGAATTTTGTATATAAGGAGCTTTGTTTTTCCTCTTCATTTGTTCCTCATCAGATCCTGCCCCAGTAAGCCAGATAACTGATCACCCTACATCAGATCCTGCCCCAGTAAGCCAGATAACTGATCACCCTACATCAGATCCTGCCCTAGTAAGCCAGATAACTGATCACCCTACATCAGATCCTGCCCCAGCAATTCAGATAACTGATCACCCAATATTAGCAACGGTGAAACAATGCAATGCGGTGCGATAAATAGCCATGTATCGGTATTGCATCGAAAAAGTGATGCATTGCATTGAAAAAGCGATGCATTGCATCGGCATTGCATCAAAAAAGTGATGCATAGCATCAGCATCGTAGCGGAAAGCGATGCAAACCGATGCCACCAAATTATAGTGCATCACATTGCATCGCTTTGCCGATGCGATACTGATACACTGTATCGAAGAATCTGATGCAAGTGATGCAATGCGGGGCCCCGCATCGCTCTCGCAATGCGATGCGATAAAGGCCCGATACTATGCGATGCAATAAAGGCCGATACGATGCGATACCTATGCATGCATCGCATCAGTTTCATTGTTGTTATTAGCCAGGTATATGCCCATCAACATTTGGGATACCTTGATTTGGGAAGAAGTATATTTAGACTAGTAAACATAAGACATATTAGACATACCATTCTCAAGAAATCTGCAAAGCCACACCTTTTCCTTAAGAGTCCATACTCTTATATTTTCTTGTTATCAGAGAGGCAGCCCATTAAATCATCCATCCCTCTCAAGCTCTATTCCTCCCAAGAGTAGTTCCACAGCGGGTGTCCAAAATATTGGATTTTTGAGGCGGGTACCTGGGTATGAAGCAACATCTCTAATAGCACCCCAGCCAATTTTTATTTTTCACTAACCAAAATTCATTTTGGGGTTGGCACCAAAAGACTGGCTTCTGTGCTGTACCGGAAAATTGGGTGCATGTTGAGCTTGTACAGCCTCTCCGTCAAATGAACAAAGTGCAGGAGAGGCTTGAGCCCAAAACAAACTTGCCTGGGTGTCACAGTCAAGTTTTTTGGCTGTTTTTTGTGCCAAAAATCATAGAAAATCCAGCTTGTGGATTTCTTGGAAACTGAAGATGCCCAACATGGAGGTCTTGACCTGTGTCATTTTTTTTTTTTTTTGGAAAAGAACGAAATTGAGGAATTAGGAAGGGAAATTTGCCAAATGACAAGTTGGCTGAGCTTACATAAGCCAGGTCCAATCTCACTGCCTACAATTTGAGAATATTTTTTCAATTTGACCAACTTATAAAAAAAATCCACCTCATCCAATTTTCAGTATAAAGCTCTAAAAATTGGATGAGGTTAGAGGCATCATGAGGATCTAAAATCCTGTCTACCCAGCTTGTGAATACCTCACAATGTACAGTGGGTGGCCCGTTATTTTTGGATGCTTGTTTTGGATTCCAGAGCTTCAAAGCACAAACTTGAAGTCACAAGAGTTGGTGAAGTGGTGCAGAATAGGTCCCAAAGGATGAATATGAAAAAAAGTTTCAAAATCTGTGAAAAATAAAACATAAAAATGTTTTCTTCCAAAAGCTCTGATATTCATTTTGGGGGAGTGGGAGCACTGGAAGAAATAAAGAATGGAACATGGGAAGAATGATTATAAATGAAACTTTTGTAAAAAAAATGGTCACCAGGTGGTTTCAAACAACTCCTGAGTTGCACATTCACCATGAGCACATGTTGTGGAAAAGCACTAGAATTTACTGTTTTGACTCCAATTTGAACAACCAACCTGGCTCAACCTTTTTTGGTTCCAATTTTTTTCATTTATAATCATTCTTGCCATGTTCCACTTTTTTTTTCTCTCAGCACTCCCACCCCCCCAAAATCAATAACAAAGTTTTTGGAAAAACCCATTTTGAAACTTTGTTTTTTGTTTTTATTTCTTCATATTCATTTTCTGAGACCTATTCTGCACCAATTCACCAAGTCTTGTGACTTGAAGTTTGTGCTTTGAAGCTGTAGAATGCAAAACAAGCAGCCAAAAATAATGGTCCACCCACTGTACAGGTTGTACATCCAACTGAAAGTCCGTTACACCAAAACTGCCCAACTGTGACACGCAGGCATGTTTGTCTTTGTCTTAAGTCTCTCCTTTGGAGGCTCGCGCTTTGAGAGAGTGGCGTTCCACACCAGCCAAGGCCACCAGGCCCTCCAAAGCCAGGGACTTTGATAAGTTTGGGTGTATGTGGCCTTCACACAACCCAATCAGTGACACTTTTTCAGAGTCCAATTTGTGGCAGGGTTAATTGCTTTCTCAGCCTAATAATCTGATGAGAAAGTGGTATATGGGCTATGTTATTTGAACTTTGACTACCCTAATGGAACTCAAATGAAAAGTGGGTTAGAAACAGAGAACAACAACCAGCCTGACAAAGAAGAAATCTACATATAACTAAAGGAATAGCCTCAGAGGGCCAAACAAACTGTCATGCAATCTAACGCCGGCGTTGACCTCCAATTCACATTTGTTGGATTTGTCAACGCCGGCGTTAGACCGAGGCAGACAGGTGGCCAACTGGAGAAAACCCCATAGGTCATCAAGTACACCCCCCCCCAAAAAAAAAAAAAAAAATTTGAGGGCATATACTACAGCTATTTCGGAAAGGGTTGTCCACTTGGACTCGCGAAATCTTTTTTATTTTTTTATTTTTTTTATTTTTTATTTTTTTACTGAACTGGACCTGTCAGAACTGAACTATCGATGACAGCTGTACCTCCTCGGCTGTAGTTCAGTACAAAGAAAAATTTAAAAATTTTCAAAAAAAAAAAAAAAAAATTGAGAGACAACTGGACAACCCTTTCCGAAATAGCTGTAGTAGAAAAATAAATGTTCTTATCATCATGTTATGTGCTTGTCCACCCAAAGCTGCTTCCAAAAAGCCTCCTTTTGTGTGTCTGTATTGTAAGACATACATATTGGACTCTTTGAGCTAGACTCGGCATACTGCACTCTTTGAGCTAGACTCGGCATACTGCACTTAGGACAAGTATTATACAGGTACCATGTAGGCCAAGTTTGGAATTTTTCAGGATCTGGATCATAAGACAAGATGCTCACTTCCCAATCAGACTTCATGTTGCCCTGCGCGGACTCGCAATTTTCAAACACGGTGAGCTCAAATATCACAATTGGATGTCTAGGGTAAATGATAGACTAGTCCAAGGAAACATACCCCAGGGATGTCGACAACTGGTCTCATCTGCCATTTACTCGACGGGTCGACAGATGAAATCCCCTGCCTTGCGCTACCGCTTGGGGGCGACTCGCTATATGATCATTGCGCTGTTGGTGTACTGGGTACCTGAACCAAGTGGATTTGCACACCGTAGGTCGATGTTTTTGCTATTACCTCCTTTCTTAAATTTCCAGCTGTAAAAATTGAACGCTCAAATTATTTGTATGACGCAACAACGTTATTTATCTCTCATCCCAGCGATAGAACTGCCGCCTAGTGTTCCTGCTTCTAGTTTACGCGGCCTAGGTTCTGTTACGCCTTCAGAGATGCATACCGAAAATCCGCTCCTGGAACACTACAGAGATATTTTCTCCCGGGTGCCCCAGATTCCGGTAACAAGTAAACAGATTAGCGACACTAACATGGAAACCGAGCGGCATGCTGAAGTGCCCGGAGAATGTGAGGCACATCTAAATGATATCCATGTCACGCAAGCCGAAGAGGAACTAACCGATCAGAAAACACTAATTTTTTTACCATTCACCACTGACTCACAGTACACTTTCAAAGCCCACCGGTGATGGAGGAGGAATTTACATCTCTCCGGGAACAACTGAAGACGTTTCAGGAGACGATATCTCCACTAGATCGCGGGCTGTTGGATCATATTAATGAACTGCAAATGATTCACACGCTCATACCAAAATCTAAAGAAGATCGATTGTTTAAGCTGATAGATAAGCGCGTAGTGTTTAAACCGCTTAAAAAACCTGCGCCCGAACATTGCCTTCTTGTGGAAACGGTTGTTCAAGTTGGCAGAATGGTCAAGAGAAGAATGAAGTATGTCCTTCTTGATCTTGCCACTTACTTCGCTGTGTGAATTCGGAGGAATTGGTCTTGCAAAATTGTTGCGGGTTAATTGACTGAAAACTACTTTCAGAAATATAGCACGCCAATTCAAACGAAAGAGCTCCCGCATATCGACTGGAGGACCCGACACATCTTCAAGACCGGCTTCAGGAAGATCTTCGGCCAGAAGAATCTTTCACGCTGCTCTTCAGCAGGGAACATTGACAGGGAATGTTCTTGATCTTATTATGGACAAAGTCACTTGGGCATGGCTCGAAAGGTTAAATGCTCTACTTCATAAAATAATTTCAATTGAAATGGCCCTTGAGATGATAGAAGCCGACGAGGGCCATTGGGAAACCTTACTCCTCCAGCAGTTTGTGTTGCGAACAGCCGACTTACTCCACAAGCACGGAATTATACCTTTAGGACACCTTAAGACTTTCCTCAGGATGAAGGACACCATGCGATTTGCTTCCATCAATGTGCTTGAGAACTGGAAGATACTATCTTGTCTATCAAATCAGTACTGGAGATGTTTCACTGGCTTCTGTTATTCAAGACCGTTCATTGAGATAGTTAATGAAGGTAAAGGAAAGGCTGTCGCGACCCAATAACACTCCCCCAATACCGTCCTTTTTTTGGAATTATTGTAACTGATGAAGAAAATCCTATTTGTCAAATTCATTTTTTGGAATCCATTCTCCACAATTTCTCGAAGCCTCGTGACATCATGTGGATTTGCCTTCTGGATTGCAAAAACAGCAACACAAAAAATTCTGGCTACTCAGGTACAATCAGATTTGAGTTTCTGTTATTCTTTTTTCCAATGCTTAATTCAAATGCCATGCCATCTCCATCCTCTGCTCCCAAATTTTACTGCAAAGCTCCTTATGCAAAATTCACAGCCCCTAAGTTTATCCTCCAGTAGGTTGATACATAAATTGTTAGAGTTATAAACATCAATATCTCTTCAGACTTGGGTCATAGATTCAAGTTCATAAGCAGTGGCATGTAACTATCTATCATGGGCAAGTGACAATGAAGCCCTTGCCAATGCCAGTAAGTCATCCTTGCATTCCTTCCTCCAAATGAATTTATGTGGTTAAGGAAGGCTAAGCAGTATACCATGATGTTAAATTTCATCAGGCCTTTTCACAAAAATACACTCTCTGGCCGACACTTTTTCTGTGTTTTTGCAACTTGCCTGAATACATTCTAGTATCATTACCTCCTATTAGACATTGTGATTTAGTCGACCATCATGCATATTTACATCGGGTTTACAGAGTTGACTGTAGCACCAGTATGACAAACGTATCGATATCGAAACAATCAGAGTTTTTAAACTGCTTAACATAACCACACTTACGGTACCCTTATGTCAACCTACGAGCAACCTGATGTGCTGAATGGGCGATGGGCATGAAGCTGCTGCGCGCCTCAATAAAGCATCACGCTATGTCCTAAGGTTCCGAACCGGACCCCGCAGATCCGGCAAGATCCGGGAAACCGGAGTATCGGTTCCGGTTTCGGGAGTGGGCTGTGGAGATCCGGCATCCGGCCGGATTCCTCCCTTCTTGGGGTAGAGGCCTCGATGGCTATCTGAGGGTTCAAAGATCTCTCAAGTTTTTTGTTGTTGCTGAAGTTGAGACCCGCAATCAAACGTCATGTTGTCCTCTTGCGTTTTCTCAGCCCCAGCGTGTTTTTTTATCTCAATTTTTCAAAAAACCCGGTTCCAACAACGTTTTGCCGATAATAAAAATAAATCTGGTCGATTTCTATTCAGGATGACATGTTCCGAGCACCTGACTCTACCCTATCCGCGCCTGCACCATCGACTCCTCACCATCTGGCCAATGCCTTCAAATTCAATAGCCTCAAGACGCGATCGTCTTGTGCTGCTCTAGGCAACAGTGTGACTCATCCTCAAGTTCAAAGCCCATCCACAGCTTCCGGTCGCACGGCAGACTCATCCGGAACCTTATCAAACACGATTATGGATCACCTCCGGGAAGATCCTAGGTTTGGCTCAAATCCGGTAAAAACCGGCACTGGTCTCAATATCCGCGGTGTTCGGGTTCGGTATGGGTGAAATCCGGCTCCGAGGCACCGGTTCGGAACCTTACTATGTCCGCATTCGCTGCGTTCACACAATTTTCCTGATGTAATCCGAGCCTTGAAAGTTGAAACCGAACCAGGTTGAAACACGCCTTTAATGTCAAACACGTACGTCTGGGCGAAATTGGATGAGCTGTGAAAACAAAATCGCTGTGATAGCCAGGTATCCCACCGGTGATCGGTCGGAGTATTGTCGAGTGCCTGTTTGCTGTCATCTAACCTGATTTAACAGTTGGTACATATATCGGTGGCTGTCAGACGTTGACGGGAATTTGAAAATGGGACTCTTCACCAGCCTTCGTCTGACATTTCCAGTGCCTCCCAAGTAACACGGCTTGTTTGACTTAATTGCGTTCGCGCTTTTGTATCTACCCCCACATTATTTCTTCTCCACATCGCTGCCGTACAATTGGTTCATGAAATTTCATGATACTGGTTGATTTTTAAGCTGAATCGAATGCCCAACAAACTCAAATCCACCCGTCTCCCTAAGGTCTCGCCTTCTCAAATTCAATTCAACGGTCCCGCTAGGCAAATACAAAGCGAGGATCCCTTTGCCCGTGACGGTGATGTTACTACGCCACTTGGCTCACCGCCGGCCTTGGTGATTCGAGCAACCTCAGATTATGAAGCAAAACATGCCGGCCAACTTTCGTTCCAAGCCGGTGAATTCTTTCATGTGACTGACGTCTTCACAGACCTTGAGGGCGCCTCCTGGTTCCAAGCCGAAAATCCATTGAATTCTGTCCAGGGGATCGTCCCGTGCACTTACTTCCGAAAATACGGACCTAGCAGGCCAAGCAACTTGCGTCCAATAGAGAAGGGCTCTAATCGCCGTGTCAAGTCTCAACTCTTTCAAGTCTTCGCCAGAGGGAAAGGCCCTATTCCCTTGACTCTACCCGCTCCCAATCTAAGGAATCAAAGCTCCGCTAGCTCTGAATCATCTCAAACCGCAGAGCCCAAGCCGTCAATTTCAAATACCAGGTACCAGTCACTTTTTGGAACTGTGAGTCTCTTTCTCCATATCTCGGTTCGAAAGTATGATTGGGTTAGATCAATCCGGCTGAGTGTACACACACTCGATGCATCTACTACATTCCAGATGAAGTACACATTTACGGCTGAGCGACCGGATGAACTGAGTGCTCGCTACGGAGAGCCAGTAATTATTATGGCCCATAGTGCTGAAGAGTGGTTTGTGGTAAAACCTATCGGCCGCTTAGGTGGACGTAAGTACACAGCTGCCAATTGTGAACTCGAGTTGCTTTGGAGATCAGTGTTCTAAGCACCTGTTCCCTTTTACCCTCAGCTGGCTTTATCCCAGCCTCGTACATTGAAATTCAAGAAATCCAAACTTGTAGGGTCCTTTCGTCGGAGCAAGGTCGAGACTTGATCCGTAGATCAGTTATTCCTACCGTAGAAGAATGGAAAGAACGCGTAGCTCACTACAAGGCGTGTAGCATTACCCTTGGTGTAATTACAGGAAGCGACTCGGTGTCCCTGAATACCCCTCCGCGAGAACGAACCAATCCCCTCGGACCAGGTCTCGTCACAGGAAATTATACTGCGACATCAGATGACCAAGGCTCAGGATATCACACCACAACTTCAGCTCAACAAGACCCCGGCGTGATAGATTGGCGAAAACGACAGGCGGCATTTATTCAATGTGCTCAAGAGGATGAGGGGCTCTCACTCGTTGAAGAGGAAGAGGATGACGATCTTACTTCAAAGGCCCGGATTATGAAGCGATACGGAACCCTCCAAAAAGTCAATGTGACGTCTTTCCATCGCGAACAGGGTAATTTTTGGTACCAGGTTCATGCTCATTTTCAACACTCCGACGTTGGCCGTAGGCGGCGAGCATTGGTACTTTACCGACTAGAATCTCACATCGAGACGCTTGAAAGTGACTTACGATCCGAATTTCAAAGTAGTCAAACCCTCCCCAAGCTTACTTCCTCTCCACCACCGGCCGATGAAATGGCTTGCGCCCGTCGAATGGAGGAGCTGAGAGATTATTTCGATGAGTTTTCCGGATTGCCCGAATCGATTCGTACATCTGAGGCGATCTGTGAATTTCTGAGTTCCAGACAGGGCGATATGGAGTTGGACGATTCTGACGGGGAAGCTGAGAAGCCCTTTGACAAATCGAACTTGTCCAATTCGCAGCTCAAGCCGCCCACCCTACAGCTACCGGCTGGAGCCAACAAGCCGTTTTCAACTGCAGAGACTTTGCGGCAAGCCCTCATCAGTTCGCAGAGGATAGAACTGAGCGACGATGTCCGCAGCTGGATAACGAGTTGTGATGCCGCCAGCCCCAACGGATTTGACTTTTCAGTTGAAGAGCCAAGCTATTCAACCCAACCCTCTTCGATCGATCGCAGTTCGTCTCCCTCTCTGAGCACCAAATCGCATGTTTCTTCCCTCAAATCTGATGTCCCGGATCAACCTACCTCATCTCACGATTGTGACTCAGAGTAAATCAGTAGTTTGGATGACCACCCAATCCGCGAGGTCAATCCACTTCGAGATTCGAGCAACTCGAGCAACAATAATATTCCAAAAGACAAACATGACTCGACTTTTTCAGTAAATCCGAGTATTTGTTTAGCCACCAAACTGACTGTCATTTGAAAACCCGCTGAACAATCACTTTAATCGACACTTGACCCAGCTGCGGTGCAGAAAATTTCACAACTATCTCATAATTCTGTACAACTCTCAAATTCTCTCAATTATCTGTTAATACCAGAAGTCAAGCTGCCTTCTCACTACTATCGTTTACTTTTCCTCTCCGTCCTCCTTTTTGTTTCACTTGAAGATCACGATATCTCTTGGTATCTATGATAACTTGGCGGACACACAGTTAAATTTTTCTGGTTCTTGTAATAATTTCAGTCTCTCATTTATCATAACTGTCTTGCTCGGGCTCATCTTGCTTGCTATGTTACATGTATTCTTCCCCCCTAAGACTACTACGTATTGGGGGTTTCAAATCCATTCTTTTTGGTCAATGTTCACCAATAATTTAGGTCGTAAGAGTTGCTTTTCATAATGTACTAGAATCAGAGGCATGCATCTCCTTTTTTTACAATTCAGATTGCTGCATTGGCCCTCTCGTGTGGGGTTACAGCCGAACTTCAAATCATAGCACTTCAAGTACAAATCTTGGAGATCAATGAAGCCACCCAGGACTTGATCTTGGAAAGTTTAATTGTTATCTCCAATGACCCTTTTCGCAGGGTGAGTTTGACAGGATAAGGGATTAATCGTGGCATTTTGTTTGTTGATGATACTATATTGTGGAGTTTTGTGAGGAAATTAAGCAAGTTGAAACCGAGTAGGTCAGCAATTATATATATGGAGGCTCTGAACCGACTTGTTGGCCAACCTTTTTTCCAATTTCTGAGCTTTTCATTTTGATTTTGAAAAGAAAAATCTGGACATTTAGCATTGAATCCAGTCAACAGATGAATTTCTTTTTCGTGTTGGAAAGAAATGCCTGCCTGTAAATCTGGACATCGAGCATTGAAATCCAGTCAGCAGATGGATTTGTTTTTCATTTTTAAAATAAAAAGTCTGCATGTTGAAAATTGAATCCGTTTTCCAGATGCGAGGTTATGAAATATTACCGATTCCTTCCAAGTTGATCATGTGGCTCATACATACATGCCTGTAATAGAGGCATCCTTTTAGCCCTGCAGGAGATGAATCGGTCACTATTCAATGAAACATAACTCTAACACTTCTTTATACAACTAACCTGTATACCTTGCTACCCTCATAATTTTGACAACTAACTATTCGACTAAGCTATTCGTTACCTTCCTTCCTACATTAAGCTATCTGTCATTAACTTCCTACATCATTATAGCATGTCTACTTTTGGGGACGAGTTCCAGCCCATTATTGAAGAGTTGATTGAATTGGGAAACAGTAATCATCAAATAATTAACCATTTGAAAGAATCTTACTCCATCTTCATATCTGAACGAACCTTGAGTCGACGAAAGGCAGAATGGGGTCTAAGCCACCATGCGATACAACAGACATCCCAGCTTGAAGAAGACATTCGACGATACTTCCATCAAGGGCTTACAAATGCTCAAATACATCATACGCTCTCCTCAAAGCATGGATATGTCCATTCCCAACGAACACTAGAGAGAAAGATTCAACACATGGAGCTCCAACGTCGAAAGGAGGATCTAGAGATTGACGATGATGAAGGAATGGACGTTGTAATAGAATGTGTCAAGAAAATTCACGAAACACCTGAAGGCCATAACGTTGGTTATCGTAGGCTGAAGCAATTGCTTCAGACTAGGTATGGAATCAATATCCATCTGTACGTCTTCATTAATACCATTTCCATATGGTTTCCTTATGCATGGGCCCCAAACTAATTAACATGTATCTTTGCACTCCTTTATTTAGATCAACGGCTGCTGCAATCAACCGTGCCTTGGACCCAGAGGGTGTCGACAGAAGGTCAAAGAGGGTTCTCAAGCGTCGTGTTTTCAATGTTGCCGGCCCAAATTTTATCTGGTCAGCCGATGGCCATGATAAATTGAAGAAGTTTGGAATCACTTTGTACGGATTCATTGATGCTTGGAGTCGTAAGGTCTTGGCAATCTTTGTTCACACTACCAACAACAATCCTCGACATATTGGATATTACTATCTTCAATTAGTCAAACGGGAGGGTGGCATCCCACGTCTAACAACCACCGATCGAGGCACTGAGACAATCGAGATGGCCGGACACCAAATAAATCTTATGCGTCAATTTGGAATCGATTACGACTTAGACCCAGATCAATCTCATCGATTCACCAAAAGCACACATAATCAAAAAATAGAATGCCTCTGGTCTCAGTTGATGAAACAATACAACGGCGAACTTATAAGTCAATTATATGAAGCTGATGAAAAAGGTTACTATGATCCTGAAGACCCTGTAGATCAGTCAGTATCTTTGCTTCCTTTTTGTTTTATTGTAACACTGAATTTTTGATACATTTTGGTATCGTTTAAGTCTCCTTTTTATATATCTATGGGTACCTCTTTTGCAGGATAGTCTGAACGAATGGATCAATAACTACAACTCATACAAGAGGCGTCGTGACAGGAAGAGCATGCTTCCTAGTGGATGCAGTGCAAACATGTGTTACGAAAACCCCGAAGACCACGATTCTGAACAAGGACTGATACCCATCGACATATCTGTGGCTCTGGAGCTAGAGAACGAGCATTACCCTGATGCCAAAGATCTAACTTCTACTTGCCCTGAATGGTTCAGCGAAATAGTCGACCTTCTAAAACTGGAAATGGAGCTCAACTGTCCTGAAACTGACACTCAGAATGTTTGGAGTGTACTTTCTTTGTTAAGATCTGCCATCCAACTTTACGACTCTGCCTGGTTGGATGATATCACAAATGATCCTGAAGAAACAATTGCTGCCCGTGCATACTTGTTATATGATATAGATTCTACTACTTAAATTTGGAAAATGATACTATATTTTCCTTTTAAGAAAACACACTTTCTTTCAGTGATTTGGCTTCTCTCTTGAGCTATTACTCTTGTATTTCACCTCAAGAAAAAAAATAATTACTAATTAACTGATTCAATAGTACATTTGTCCAAGGGTAAGATAAATCAAAAAAATTATTCTCCCCCTTGGACTAATAGCATCATCCTTTTTGCCAAGCTCATTGTTGTTTTGATAAAATCAGCCTCAGTCCAAGAGGAAGAGGAAGGGTTTTCCCCTGAGGTCAATGCTGTCTTCATCATCCCAAGTAGAATAAAAGCAAGCATTGGTCCAAGCAGAATGCTCCCCAATCCCACACATCAGCTCACAATGTTTAGAAACAAAGGCCTTGTGTTTTTCTATCTATATCTTCCCTTCCTCCTCTAGACAAATGTAAACAGACCTGGCCTCCTACCAATTTTGCACTGGCATTCTGAGCTTAGGAAGACACAATATGTACTTCAAGGATATGCCGGGTTATGGCTGAAGTTCTTGCCATAATAAAATAGTAGTACATAATCCAAATGCTTTATGTTAAACCATAAAAACTTTCAGAAGGGGAGACCCTTGTACGGTGTGAGTAAACCATAAAAAGAATACACAACCCTTAACCGGTATAATTCACTAACATTGAGATAGTGTCTACACTCTTTATTACTCAGATGCGTCCCAGCCAGCCACAGGAAACTGAATGTGTCTTTCCTGGGACACACCACCCGTACAAAATACTCATTCTACACCCCTAAATATTCCAGAATTCTTATACAACCAGGGAAAGCATGTGATGGTTTGGAAAACATGTGGAATTGTAGAATTCAAGCCAGTAAGAATGAATCACAATTTTATATGTATGTAAAAATTACAAATTTCAATTGAAATTATCAGCGTGTGATTCGTCTTTGACCAAGGCCTCCATGCTCCACATATTGAAGTCTCTATACAGGCGTAATACAGCTCATCATAAGACCGTATAGAAAGTTGCTCTCCGTATAGGCTAAAGGAAGGTCTCCAACTTCAATCGACTCACAAGCTTGATCTGATTACATACTCTCCATTGATCCACACCCGGTAAGCAAACAACTCCACTGACCTTCCCAGAACCCTACAAAACATCTAACTTGATATCTTATTGCTCAGCAACCGGCATAAATCACCCATCAAAACATAATAGTATACCACGTTAAGCTCTGAGAGTAAGCAAAATCAAATTCTTCAATATTATTCAAAATTTTGGTTGTTGATTTTGAATTTTTAAGTTCTAGAATGCAGTGCATCAGTTGTCGTATCAGACCAAGTGTCCGCGGTCATTTATGTCAAACTTGCATCAATGATGCTTTTGATCATAGTCATACTGATACCTCGGCAGTTCCCTTAGCCAAAAATGTTTTGATGAAAACCAAGCAAAAGGATGCTTTGATACGTGCCAAAGAGCGGCTTCTCAAATCTATACCAGAGGATCAACCGTCTTCGACTACCCATCATTCCAGCCATCCAGTACCTTCAAAAAACACTGAAGTGGAAGTCGATTCCTCACCTCCTGTCGATGCTTACAGTTTTGCTAGGGCCAGAAGGGTTAAACCTTCACCTTATCCTACCAGAACTTCGAGAAACGCACGACTGTCAAAACCCAAACCTGCCGCCCCCAACAAAGGTGCAATTCCTTCATCCGATCCACCACAGAAGGTAATGGTTCAGTGTGGCTTTGAGATAAGAGTTGGCGGTAAATTCCAGCCTAAGCTTTCCGAACCTCGAACCCCTCACTGGATTGAAACAGGAAACATCAACTCGCACAACATTTTACTCAGCGAACTTTGCCAGAAATATGTTGGTCACGACCTTGGGGGATACGGTTCTTTTTCTAAAAATCACTTTCCCTTTTCTAAACTCGGATCAAAAGTTGCTGGAGTAGACGACCAGGCATCATTTATATTCCATCTTGAGCAGAACAAATTTATTGATCTCATCTTTAACTATGATGCTTACGATAAGAAGTGCTTGAAAGAAGAAGAAGAATATAGTCAATCGGATTCAGAATTAGAGACTCTTGACTCCATACGTATTATTAATCCCAAAAAGAATCCTAGACTTCCTCTTAATACTCCAACTAGCTACACTATAGAATCAAATCTGGACGGAAATAATAACCAGGTGTTGGATAATGCTAGTAGTTTAGGGATTGACCAGTCTGGTATTTATAGCGGTCAAACCACTCCAGCATTCTTTTCATCTCTCTCCTCCGTTTCGGATCGGTCTCAAATCCAAATGCTTCCAAATCTGGCGGTCCAAAGGTGCCCACCATGTGAGTTCAATATTCTGAGCAGTCACTTCCAAAAAAAAAATACTTATTTCGAATCTTTTTGATGATCAAATAGGGGTGTTCAATCCAATAATGGATCTGTCAAATTTTTCTTGGGATCGCTTTGGTTCGACCAACTTGTCAACACTTTTCACCGATCAAAATGGACTAGGTTGGACAGAAGGCATACGACTCGAGCTTGATCCAAATGGGATTGACATGTTCCGTCGACTAGTACATTATAAGATCCACGAGACAGAAGTGATTTCTGAAAGTGAAAAGGGAAGAGTTGTTAAAGCCGATCTTTTGGACACCCCGAACATCCACTCGATGATTGTCAAATGCTCTACTAAACGCCAACATCCAAGTCTGAGCCACCTACCCTTTCCGATATACCGAGCAAGATCTTATGCTGCTGCTCGTCAATTCTTGGCGTTATTCACCAACTCTGTTTTAACATCTTCTGTGGCTGCATCCGATCTGAAAAATCTTGCACAGAACTTACGTGTAAGTAAACATATCATATTTATTATTTATCATTGAGGCTTGTAGATTTATTTATTTATATTTTTGGTAGATTGTACAAGCCTTTCCAATGTATCCCGATCCTCAACATCCTGAAAGATCATATTCAGATTTCCCTGAACGAGAGAACGATGTGCGCGCAAGCTTTGAAGCCGATCCAAAAAAGGTATTCTTTGTCGAGGAATACATCACTGGAACTTGGAAAACCCTCTTGGATCCAGACACTTTCAACACTCGACTTAATGATTACTCACCTGCAATAGATCACTTGATGGAGGCCTTTCAACATTGGACATACAACTATACAAAAGGACAAATCGTGGTAACCAATCTGAAGGGTGTGGCGCCAGTTATGAGCAAACCCAAAATAGTGGACTTGAACCGAGAGTAAGTCATCTGAAATGATGTTCAATTCTGTTTTGATATATTTTGACACTATGTTATATCTTCCAATCCAGCACACATTGGGCGCAATGGTCTCACATTGAACCCATGACTTTCATGATGAACTTTCTATCTGATCATGTCTGCTCTCGAGCTTGTAAAGCACTCAATCTAGGACGATTGAGGGAAATCGAATGGGTCCCATCAGTCAATGAAACAAACTTGGAAAACCAAGGCGCTAGTACCTCGGAAGTAGAAATATCTCAAGAGCTTCTTCATCCTTATTTCCAAAGGTCTTGATTCACACAATTTACAAACCAAAAATATTACTATAGAAGGATATTAATTACGAAGTTCAACCAAAAAAAGTCTAACATTTCCTAGAATCCTATTTCTTTTTCTTAGACACCTTTTTTTGGATCTCTCTTCTCGAGTTTACTATAGAAAGATATCAATTACGAAGTTTAACAAAAAAAATCTAACATTTCCTAGAATCCTATTTCTTTTTCTTAGACACCTTTTTTTTGGATCTCTCCTCTCGAGTCATTGTTCTCTTCTTCTTTTCCTCCTCCGGTAGACATTTGAGTTTGAGTGCCCTAGCTACAAGACGATGACTGATTTGAAATGAGCAACCAAAGTGGGTGGATTTTTTAGTTGATTTAAGCTCCTCAGGGGGGCCTATGGTGTGATGGCAAATATCGTTACTTTTCCACAAGACTTCGATAATACCAGGGGTCGTGCCAAAGTTTATGTTACAGTCATAATCGGGGAATCTGATTCCATGACCACGCGTGCTTGAGGGCGGTAGGATTGGAGTTCCGGTGGATCGATCAATGTAGCTAAAGATGCCATACGTGAAAATGTTCTTGTCCTTGTCGCAATGTGGCTTGTTGGAAAAATCGTTTGAGGTTACTATCACATTGGAACAAAGAGGGGTTGGATCATTTTTGTAGCTTTCCCAAGCTTCATCGGACCAGCTTGGAATACCAAACTCCTTCATTGCCTGCTTGTTCTTGGCAACAGCTTCCTCTGAGAAATGGCGAAACCGATCCGCAATGAATTGATTGTGTCTAGGTAGCTTGTTCTGCAGGTTTGTCTCTAATTCGAGCTGAGAGGGTTTGAGGTCTTTACGAACTGCATAAGAACCTAACAAAAAGCAAAATCAACACCATGAATGTTCATACTCAACAACAACTGGGACTTACCTGCGCTCTTGCCTTTCTCATAACCTCCTCGAAATCCTATCCCCGACATTCGACCAGATATCTTGTTCTTGTTCTTAAGATTGGACCGGTGATTAGACATGATGTAGAGGTCTTCAATCAATTCGGATAGGTGGTTGAAGGTTGGATCGGATGAGTCGTGAGGGTGGAATTGGACCAAGAATAACACTTTCTTCGCACATCCACCAGCAGTCACAATGACAGTTTTGGAAGAGGCAAAAGTTTGTAACTCGATGGAAAATGGGATGTTTTTTTTTTTCTGGCTCATCCGCAACAAAAATGGTTTAGACGATGTGAAGTAAGACTTGGAGAGGAATAGGGTCTGTTTAAGGGTTTTTCGAGCTCTTTCAGACAGGGTAGCACAGGAATCTTGAGGGAGATCTAATACATAGGGGTCGTTCTCATCGATTTCGGTTTCTTTATCAGACATAGTATCATTTTCTTCATCCGAGAGGTGTTTTTCTTCTTCCCAGGCCGGATCCTGCATTGAGGCACCAAACTGACCCCTCTCCACTGGAAAATTGCTAGGAAGTAATGATTTGGAAGCTTCGTAATTTAAAGTAGGCTTTTTATTCTCCTGGGCACCAAACTGACCCCCAGTTCTACGGATTATGGAATCCTGCAACATATTGATTAGATAAGAAAAAGTAGTAAGAATGATGTGTGTGATCGAGCTGTTGAATTTTTTAGAGACTGGGGAAAGAGGGGACAGAACAGTCTGCTCAAGTGGATTCCTTGAGGGCTCGGTAAGCAAAATATGAAACAAGTTCCTCCAGCTATGGATACAGTAATAGTGCAGGGGGTAGATGAAGCAGAGGACTTCTTCTTCCCCTTGGAACAAAGCATACAGTCGATTTCTATCCATCATGAAACGATGAAGACAGTATGACATCCCAGGGGAGGGTGCTACATCTCCCTGGAGGGATAAGAGTCTCATCGGTGCCAGGGGATCTCTCTGGACCGATAGCGATCAAATCTTGTGATCGGTCCAAGCAGGAGAGATGAAGCGAGGGATTATTGCTTCCTTTCCTCCTTGGACTGATACTATGTTCATCGGTCCATCCAGGGAGGGTACATATAAAGAATCCTCTCCTATTTTGGACCAGGACTGTATTCTTGTGTCCATGGATACATAGATAAAGTGAAACATTCTTGCATCATCTCCTCCTTTGGACCGATACTGTTTTCATCGGTCCAAGGAGAGGGAAAATCTTTCTTCCCCTTGGCTGATAGAGTCTTCATTGGTCCAAGGGTAGGAAGCATATGCTCCTTGGAGTGATGAAGACAATACCGGTCCAAGGGGAAGAGAGTCCAACAAGGAGGGGAGAAGTTCTTGCTTCCTCTACTCTTTGGAACCATTGCTTGCCTCATTTCCTTCTTGGACCGATGAAGACAGTACTGGTTACTGGTCCAAGAGCTTCCTCTTGGACCGAGACAATCTCATCGGTCAAAAATTAATCGGAAGCGGGAAGCGAGATTCTCGAGCCCGACCTTAGTTCAAGTCCAAGACTTTCTGGTAGCCAGCGCTTGCACTCGAGCTGGCAGGAGCTTGATACCTGGGTTTGCTGGAGTCAAATCCACATTCTGTTTGTCTATTTTGCCAATGGGTAGCGCCAGAACTATTTGGCTAGTTTGCCTGGCCATCTGGCGCTGCCCCGGCTACTTTGGCGCTTGGGTTGGCTACTTTGGCACTTGGATTGGCCTGTTTGGCATGGTCTCACCACAATTTCGGATATTTTGTCCAGGATGTCGCTCCAGGGCCTCCATATATATATCTTCTGACAACAGGACTCATTACCTGAGGAAATGATCTGTTGGATGGGTGGTGGGTAGGTTGGCTTGGATATCTCGAGCATGTTGGCAGCCATCAGCCTTCATCTCAAAGATGGTTTGAATACGCGCTATTAGAAACCAAGACAAATGTGCTATGTTTTACATTTGCTTTAAGTTTAGCTGTCCCTAGAAAACACAGCAGCCATTTGTCCCTCAGGATTTGTTAGCAAGTTCTGCAACTGTCAACAAGTGACGATTGATATTCAAGATACAATATTATTGATTGGGAAGGTGCCGGAAATTCGGATGTCCATGAGCCTGACCGGTTTTTGAACCGCCGATGGGAACCACCCGAAAGTGACTCCGGAACCTCCATCAGGTTGCAGGTTCCTAACTATTGGAGTGTTGGCCCTTCATCTCGCATCGGACCCACTGTCTTGAACGGTGAGCACAAACTGAGGCCCGAACTTCCACTTGTCTTTGCTCGTTCAGCATCGGTTTTCTTTCATGCGAGCCGCTGGGTACTGCCAGCAAGACTCAGCACCATGCTGCCCATAAGTGCTGCTGGTACCTGGGTGGAATGAGGGCAGCAGGAGGATGCTTGGTGATGACGAGCCTTGACGCTGACTGGGTAATACATGTCAACACTTGATGCTGAGCCCGGCGCTGCGTTGCAATTTGCTGCCAGTTCATGCTGAGCCGTTTGACTAGGTGGGTATATAGGGAGCCTCAACTGTCACTCCCCTTCCTCACCTCCCTCACTCCTCACTTGACCCTTCAGCAGCAGAAAATTCATCCGAGCTGACCGCCTCTTGGCGGTTGACTTCCCCATAAATATACGCTGCTCATATCCTCAGGCAATTCAAGTCAAGCTCTCCGCCTCTCACAATGTGTTTCTTTCACAAACCCCGGCCCCTTCATTTCCCCCGACCTTTCAACTATTAGCGACATGAACCGTTCATGAAAGGATCCTTACTCCAATCATCTATCTCCGCGATCTGGACACTGCATCATAACTGGTAGAGTAATTTTTGTTCTCTTGGACAACAGCTAACCTTCTCTTGTTTGCGACCTCAACAGAGCCACAGTCATGATATCAACCTAAGGTAAGCGGCCTTGTGAGCCGCGCACGAACGCCTCGGCAAGGATGATTGTTAAACTAACCGTTGTCAGACTTGCCCGTTCCTCGCTCCTCACTGGCGGCCCTCCAATAATAGTTTATCGACTCCAAATTACCTCCGGCGCTTTAGGACTGACTTCTTCTGCCCAGGAATATCCTATCGCACATCATCCCGCTCTTCAAACCGGATCTACTGCCGCGCTCTATTTGCGTTCTAGCCATACGAACCGCTCTTGAATGGTCTCCTACTCCGATTCGAATCGAATTCCACATATTTTCGCGAGCGGGCTCCGGCTCCTTTAATTGGAGAAGTAAGGTTTTTTTACCCGCACAGCACAGCTAACCTTTTCTCTGTCTGTCAACTCGACCAATTCAGATTCGTAATGGCGTGCTCAAGCAAGAGGCCTCCCAAGCCGTGGAGAAATATCCACGAAATTAATATTATTAAAGCCGCCGATAGCCGCCGTTCCCGTTCTTTGTCGGCTCTTCGAGAATGGTCGCTTTGATCCCCTTCCTCCGCCAATCCCGCCCGCTTCTCGTCGCCGACCCGCCGCGCTATAGCGATACGAACCATTCATCACAGTCTTCTACCTACTCCGATTCCACCTGACGTTCAGATACCTTCGCGATCGGGATCTCGCGTCTTGATGGGTAAAGTTATTTTTTTACTTCGGGAAGGAGCTAACCTTTTCTTTCTTTCCAAACTCAGCCACTTCAGATCCGTGTTAGCAGCCGCAAGTAAAGAGCTGTGCACAAGATATTTATAGAACGATATTCGTCTGGGCTACCGACACCCCTCTCCTCTGCCGTCCTTCGTCGACTCCATCCGGATGGTCTATCTCCTTCAAACCACCCCTGGCGCTTGAGGACGAATCTCTTTCCCCCCGGAATTTTTGCTTCGCACATCAGCCCTTCCGCTGACCCGAATGTCCATCTATGAGGCTACCGTCTCCTTTTTGTTTCTCAGCGGCACGAACGGTGCATAGACGACCCCCTATTCCGATATTAACCGCCTTTTCCGATATCCGGCCAATTATCTAATGGAGTGATCTTTCTTCCACGTTGACAGGAGCTAACCTTTTTTTTTGCAACAGAGGCAGATTTGTGACATACAGGAACCTTAGGTAAGTGGCCATACCAAACGCCTTTCTCGTTCCTCACCGGCTCTTCGAGAATGATCTACTTCAAAGTTCATGGTTTCTCGCCGGATCTTGGGACGAATAACCTAAGGCTACCTACATGCACGTAGCCGGACATCATAGCCAAGCTCCTCATCCCCAAAATCCATATCCTCCAAAACCCTGCCCCGCCGTTCTCGTCGACCTTCTACAGCGAAAGGAACCGCGAATGACAGGCTACTGGGTCCTATTCCAACGGACTTTGATAATCGTGGTGATCCGCTCAGGTGAGTGGTCTTGTGAATCATCCACAAATATTTGAAGAACTAGATAGATTTTTGTCGGCCACATCTTCACACGACGATTGAAACTCGATGGCACTGCCCGACACATCAAACATCGCAACAGCCGGGTGGATGGCTCAAGCAGACGGTAAGAGTCAAGAATATCCGACGTTGGCAAGAGTCCATCATCAATATCGCTTCCCTCGCTTGAGTGTCCTCACAATTGGCCGAGGAGCTTTGTGAGAAGTTTGTTGCGCGGCCTCGACTCCTTTCATCTAACAGTCCACCCCTTCTCAACCAGATTTTGTAATCACTTATCACACTCTTTCTTCAACATTTATTTTTGGCCCTGTTTGGCAGCGTCATAAATTTAGGTGTAATATTGCCTGATTAATTCAATAAAAAATAAACCAATGCAAAATATATTTCAAAATGGTTACTCAGGCAAGTTCAATTACTGGTTTCATCAATGCTGAGAACAAACTTGATATCTTAGGTCATCTTGAGCCCCATAATATTGATATCACACTTTATATGGGTAAAAAGTGTAATATTGGTAGTACGGTGCTGAAGATAGCCCATTATCTCAAATTTTTCTGTTCTAAAATTGAAATCAGTAGTTGAACTTGCCCCAGTCAAAATTTCATTACATATTTCTGAGTGGTTTATATTATATTGAATTTAGAAGGCAATATTACACTTGAATTTATGACACTGCCAAACGGGGCCTTTGTTTATTACACCAATGCAAATGCAAGTTGACCAGCCCACACCCATGATGGCACATCTCTTCACATCCTTTTTCTATCTTGGAATCCAAGGCTGGTAACAAAATCTTACTAGATGGAGTTAGCAGTCCCAGTAGATTCAGTGTCAAGGTCATACTAATTTGAGCACAATTTGGTTTACAAACATGGAAGGCAGAAATTGATATGAGAATAAATGATACCTGTGGAAATATGTTTATATTCAGATGGGAATATATTGTTGTTTTATCTCTATTATACCTGAAGGTATATGTTATTAATGAAACAGAATAAAAATAAATGAAAACAAATTGCCATATAAATGGGGAAAAATCCATCCCGTCTTCCTAAACAAAAGTGCTTCTATCACAAAATTTCAAATTGTCAAGTAAGTTGCGGTTGATGAACAAATTCTGAGAAAGCTACATGAAGGACTTGATCCATTGAATAGTAACATTATCAAATGCATTTTTTAAAGAGAAAATCTAGAATTTACTCAAGTTTAACTTGCCCTTACTGTATCATATACACTACAATTGCTTTGGACCATCTGTTCTTTCTCCCGATTCTTTCTTTGTTTCCGGGGCCAAATCTGCAAAGAATTGAATGCTGTTCCGATTAACATTTTTGAATGTTTTCTCAGATCAATCAATCCCTAGGAAATGGCTTATGCGTTTACAAAATTTCCCAATGCATCTTTCAAAGCTCCAAATACTTGACCACATACTTGAGCATCAAGTTCTAAGAGATGAAAGTTGATTTGAACAGTTCTACATTCTAAAGACATGAATTACATACAATATGCACAAAATCCACCCCGAGGAGGCTTCTTGATAAAATCTCTTGAGATTTAGAGTCAGTTTGTCTGTCTTTGAAGAAATCCGCTTCATTATTTTGACCGACTTGTTTTTAAAATATCCACAATCGTAATCGAGAAACGCAGACTGAAGAAAGATTACTGGGATATGAAGGTCATGGCATCAATGTTAGAGAGATAAAACTCGATAGCATCCGAGCGAAAGTCGTCTGATGCAACCCCAGCGGCGCCGTGTTTATCAATGATCAGGTTTTGGGCGCCTTTGTCATAGGTAGGCCACTGAGAAAGCCCCGGATAGTTTGGATCCAAGTTGTTTGCGAAGGCGATCCAGCGGGTCTGATACTCTTTTTGCTGCCCACCTGGGATCAATCCAAACAGAGCAGGCAGGTCCGATGCATGGAATGCTCCTGTGGTTGAAAAACCAACCAATCAGTCCATCTACCAGCGTATGAGCAGTGATTTATTCAAGTCAACTAACCAATATATGGGTCATGCTGCATTGATTGGTCAATATAGCTCCACGTCGACATGGACGAGGAAGTCGCTCGGAGAAATAGGCGTCTCAAGCCCTGAAAGAATACCACAAATCCCAAAGTCAACTTATGCCGTGTTTGAGACATTATTGTTTGAATTCAAATCAAAAACCTGGTAGTTAACTCACCTGGAAGCCTATATCACCGAGTATTGCCGAATACTGCTTATAGACCGGTGTGAGAGCATACTTCTTTCCAGAGGAAAACGGAGAGCCTAATTTAGGATCTGAGGGCCAAAGCTCGAGTATCTTCGCAATAAGCTCGGGTGTTGGCTTCTCGAACTTCTTGGAGATAACTGGGTCAGATGAAATTTATTAGCTTCTAGGATCACAAAGCAGAGGTTGGTGAATACTTACACCTTCTTAGATCCTCTTCTGTGTGCAGGGGGAGCGTACCCAGTGCCAAAACCGTACCTTCATCCAGGACGTCTCCTGTTATCATGGGGACTTTGGCGTCTGCAAGCTTCCTAATGCTATCAGCAATTCACGATTGGAAAGCAAGTAGAGCGACCAAACTAGACCCACATTCTCCTGCTTTGAGCGCGTTCTGTATAGATCCAGTGACGAATTCTCCATCGACTACAGGTGAAAATGTCAAAGGGAATGCACCGAAGGAAAACGTTCCGGGAAAAAGTTCCACAGCCTTGCTATGTGACACCACATTTGCAATGGTTAAGCGCAAACAGTTTTCATAGCTTGCTGAATTGGGTACAAATATTCACAGATCTTACAGAAGTTTTTTGTAAGGCGCCTTTCTAAGACAAGCCAATTTATCGGATGCATCTTGGCAGTTTACGAATTTTGCAATATGATCGAAAGCTTGTTGACCGGCGCCATCAGATAGCTCTTCAATATACCCAAACAAAAACATTAATGAAGAACCGACTTTCAAAATTTATTATCCAATTGAATAATAATGCTGCAAATAATCCACTTACTTCCAACCGGAATCGCGGTTCCACTGTGACATATAGCGGCTCGGAAAAGATTGTTGTGCTGTCCTCTAAAGGCCATAATATGATGCGATACAGAAATGGCACCAGCTATGCAGGTAAACGAAAACAAATGAGGTAAGCCCAGTCGTCATACAAGAAAATATGCGGAGAAAGTGCATACATGATTCGCCATAGATGGTCACTTTATCAGGGTCCCCGCCGAATTGAGAGATGTAAGTCTGATTTACAAACATAGAAAGCAGTCGTCTCAGAACCTCATCCATAATAGAGAGCGGCCTGAAAACAAAATGAATAGACGACTAACTTTGATCCATTCCATAGTCAATCTTTGATCTTTCAATCCGAGGTTGCCAACGCCCGCTTCAGCTACTTCTTTACCGCCCAAAAATCCAAAGGCCTGGTTTGAAGTAGTCTCCCATCTTAAGTAGATTAGAAGAAATATTCAGCAAACCTGACAAGACTTACATTTAGTCTATGATTTGCTGTGACATGGATGATCGGAAGACCCATATCCATACTTTCCTTAACCAGGAACTTGGGAGTTAACTGCCAGCTCACCCCATAATTAAAGCCACCGGGGACTGACGCCGGGTAATTAGCAATACATTTTTCAGTTCAAATTGGTAAGAAAGTCGAACAACTTGGCGAAAGGCTCAAGACTTACAAATGAAGAACATCACTGGAAGACGAGAAGAGTTTGTTGTGCCTGCTGGTCTGGTGATCTACGGAAGAAAAATGAAGGGAAAAAAGTGAGACAAGGATTGCATCCAAATCAAAATTGGTTGTTCTCACGTCTAGTGTCAAGCAGTCTTCTTGACCGGGTCCAAAGGCTTTGATGTGCCCAAGAGGATTCAATTTTTTCCCATTGAGCCAACTTTGATAGGGTTCGCTGGAGGTGTTTCCACCGAAGGTTTGTTGAGGACACGCAGCTGTCCGTTTCTTTTTTTGAAGAAAGACGCGCAAAAACATGAAATGAGCATATCACGCAGGAGAAAATGTTCCCCGACATAGCTAGAATAGCCTACGGTAGCGTCTCGATTGTAGTAAGTTTTCTTCGGTTTGATTGGATTTGCAAAACGGAGCTCCCCCACCGGCGGTTCGGCCTTTTCAGTAGACGTCGCATGAAATACAAGTCACTTTTTTAGCCTTTATCACAACGACCAGGTAGGATATATTGGCACTCGAAAAACTTCAATCAGGATACTCACGAAAGGGATTCCATAGAAGCGCTCAAGACGATGGATGGCTTGTACTTTGCCAATAAAGGAGCCATAATCTAGTTCCACCTTGACATCTATGGGGAAGGGTTTGCTCAAATACTAGTGCGGTAGACATTGAGTTAGTTTTGACTTACGCCGAAGATTCTTATTGAAGAAAAACTTCAAACCGACTGCCAAGGCGAGGCTCAGGATAACAAGAAAGGAAAGGCCCTTTCCCAAGTGCTTAAACATTCCGTTGTCGGGTCCTACATAGTATAACAGGAAACGAGGAAGATCGGTGAGAATAGAATCCAACGGACAACTTTTTTTTCCACTTTTGAGAATACGAGAATGATTCAAAGATCCGAAGAAGCAAAACAAGAAGCGGATATTTCCTTTCTTTTCTCAGCTCTTTTCTTTGGTCATTAATTAGCTTACCAAAATTTGGATGCAGTCAATTTGAGAAATCGTTGAATCTATCAAAAAAAGTAGACAGACTAATTGCAAACCAAAAAAAAACATTGACATAAGTACGGATATAGAAATGTTGGGAAAACGGAGTTTTCAATCTAATAGCATCGATGTTCGGCGGTTTGGTACATGGTACAAGAGAAAAGAGGGGCAAGTAGGTAAAGGTTTCGCTGAATTATGATGATCTGGACGTGAGTCCCCGATCAGATCTCTCCATGTTAACGGGAGCAACTGTTGCGAAGGCTTGAATGCCCGATGGGATCAACTGCAATCTAACTATGACAGGGGCATAACGGCAACAAAAGAAGAGTATAATAAATCTGGAAGTGTGAAAGGAATATAGAAAAAAAAGGGGTCAAGTCTCAAGTCGATGGTCATATTTGGATATGACGGCTGACAAGCCACTGTCTCCTGTGAAACGGGCAGAAATGCGTTTATGAAAGCCTCAAGGTCAATTTCAAAAGGACAAGCCAGTGATGGAGCGCGGGTGAAGTGAGAGACAAGCGCGCATGCGTATATGGAAATGTAGCCAACCCAGAATCATTCAAGCGACTCTGCCACGAGTCCGCTTGGAGAAACCTCGGCGAAAAGTGATTGCTTGAAACCGAGTCTGGAAAAATGAGAAGCGGAAAAGCTAGACATACCTGGAGTTGTGAGAAATAAGCTAAACGGTCTGGGGAGGTTGAGCTGTGTATCTCGAGGTGGCCGGGTCGATGATGGACGACGGATGAAGATTTAGTCCCGAGGTTGAGGTTCATCCACTGGATCGTAATCGACTGCCCACAGGTTAAGAAAAGGTCACGCCACCGAAAACTGGAATGGATATCGAAGCTTTCGCCAAGGAAAACTATTGGGCCACTTGATCAGTTTAGCCCACTCTTTTTTGTGAAGGTGTATCAAAAAAGCGCGTGATTCTAGTCAGCCCCCGTACGTGTTAATCGTTTCCTTTGTTCTTTTTTTTCAATCGTGTATAACACAAAGTCAACGAACCAAGAATAGCTTGGAAATCATACACTACGATTCTTTGGCTAATACATGGGTTAGTTGGGTGGCAGAAAACCATACAAGGAACCGAACACAATGCGGAATGAGAGAGAGAGCGAAAGAATGTTGCATACTCGCCAATTTTGCCGGTCTCACCTCTCAAGAATCTTTAGTCTATCTCGAGCCACGATACTGGTTACAAGGGGGAGCGGTCAAGAGAGCAATCAATTTATTGATTAGTAAGGCACGATTCGCGGTAATTAAGAAACGTGAGTTGGCGGTTATTTGTACCTTACAAAGAGAACAATTGATCGATCCCTTCAATCGAATTTATTTATTTGCAGGTATTTAGGTCGGGTCGCTTCCGATATGTGGTTTCTGGTTAGTAAGCAAAAATCAATCAACCTCGCCGAAATAAGCCTAACGGTGGCCAATTCGCCAAAATGAGGTTCTTTTTTTTCAGTCTAATCGAACAAGGAGTTTCCTTGACCGAGTCTTGTGATGAGGATCTATGTCTTGAGGTTGAAAAGGGATGAGAGGCTTATGAGATGGATTGGCAACGACTGATGCAAGGTCTGATCGGGTCTGATAGACTCATGAATCAGAGAAGACCGAAGTGGGTTTCTTTTTTTGAGGGATGGAGAAACTTCCGGAGATCGACCTGAGTCTGGAGAGGCTGGGTTGAGTGAAATGATGCCATATGGAAGATGAGGGGGGGCAGAAAATTACGACAGGCTTTCACAACTCCAATGAATGAATTGTTAAAAAGAAATTCTCGCGAAGAGATCTCCATCAGCTGACCGCTACCACAGTCTCCTTCCTGATGGGCCCTCTATTACCTCTATTTATTACCCATTCTCATCCTCAACATGTATGTATATTTGTATATCTTTGTCAAGATACCAACCAGACTTCGTCAAAAATCTAGCAGCCCACCAAAGATTTTCTTGATAGACCAGAAGAAAGGGGTCACAGATAGATTGCATGGTCAGTTCGACAATTTCGAAGTTTTCAGGAGGCTAATTTTGGGAGTCATCCCAGTACTTGTGGCCTCGAGGCATACTGACCATTGCCAGACGACTTTCGATAAGCGATGTCAATGACCAGTCCATACCGATGATTTCCTTTTTTGGGTTTCTTCTTCTCTTCCTTGACTTTTGACTCCGCTTGAATGCACCCCACGGCATTGACCAACCTGATTCGACCAGATTCGACCCCTATGATTAAATTCGACCAATGGATTATATCTTTGGAATCGGAGCTGGGAACTCTGCAAAACGGACACCTTACTTTTTGACCCGCTTGTTTCTGTAGAGACAGCTTCTTGTGAAACGACGATTGTCGAAATCAGCAAGTCGGCTCATGCTAAAACCTCAGCCCTTTTCATCAGGAGTCAATCAATTTTTGTCTCAACAGTCATCCTAGGAAACCCATCCAAAAAAACGTTGATATTCAGACATGAAGTACGATTGCATACAAAGAGCCTTTCAGATGAAATGTGTGCGCAATAAATTTTGACACCTTCCCCCTTTTCGCTTCGTTCCCCTCATCCAGTGCCGTGGTGGGCACTGAAGCCAACACACTATGTATGTCGCACCTCGGGGAGCGCTTGGCGCACACTGCCAGCACAGCACGATTGGACCCGATGCCTGGTATATATCTGGGGTTAAATCAGACATTTTAATCGTAGCTCAACGATGTTGCATCACTATTCGATGTTGCATCGGACCTGCCGAACTTGACACAAGTCTCTGGCTGCGGGGGGCGCATCTGGCAGCGTAGCGCTGGCCAGGCGGTTCCCGAAGGGAACTCCCCGCAGGGGAGACTTGGGCCAGAGGTCGACCAACTCAGGTGCTGAGTTTGGATTGTTTTGGTGGGAGCTATTGAGGCACTGACACGGGATAGGGAAAAGTATGAATGTATTGGAATGCAATGAAGAGGAATGAATCAACAAACAAACAGAGAAAACTAGGTTGTATTTATATACATGTATTATGTAAATACAACATAGGTGTCGAGGTCGAGAAGAAATGACACGTGAGGGAAAGTCTTTGTCCAGGGAAAGTCTTGTGTCATGACTTTCCCTGGTCATGACGCTTGTCATGATGTAGCTGTGTGCGTAACACGTCATGTTACGTACATTTGCTACAACACCCCCCCACTCGACGAGACGCCCATCACAACCTTTAGCTGGAATTCGTGTACCAATGGGGTCAGGTTCTTCGTGAAGACATCGGCGAACTGGTGTTTGCTGTCCACCCACGATAGAGATACCTGCTTTCTGAAAATCGCCTGGTTCGTAATGTAAAACTCCCTGTCTGTGTGCCGGGTCCTTTTATTGGACACATCATCGGAACATACTTTAATGGCGGCCTGGTTGTCGCAGTATAAATTTCCGACCGTCTCAATCCCCGTGATGTCCAAGAATAAGTGTCGCAGCCATAACAGTTGTTTGGTCCCATGTCCTAGGGCCATGTACTCCGCATGCGCCGTCGAAGACGCCACAGTTGCAAGACGTCTGGAGTTCCAAGCGATTGGGCTACCATGGAGAAAAATGATAAATCCATAGGTAGACCTTGAGAATTCGCCCCCCCAGTTTGCGTCCGTGAAGCAGCACAGTTTCGGACTGTCCCGTGTGGGTCTCAAGATCAGGGGGCGAGATTTCGATCCTGCGACGTAATTCAAGAGATGATTCAGGCATTTCCAGTGTGACTCGCCGGGGCACTTTGAGAAACGAGCTAAGAAGTTTACGGCAAAAGTAATGTCTGGTCGAGATCCGGCCGAAAGATAACTTAAGCTTCCAATGATCGAGAGGTAGTCGGAAGTCCTGACGCCTTCGCCGTCCGCACAAGTGTTGGGCAAGGTCCCGCAGGGAAGAGGTGTCTTCGCATGAGAAACTCCGTCCCAATGTTCTGATAGCACTTTCGAGATTAGCCTGGGTTGAATCAACTCAAAACCTCCCTCGATGCGGTTGACTCGCAGTCCCACAATGTCCTCCAGGCTTTTTGTCCATTTGACCTGTAGGGTGTTGGACAAATCACGTTCCAGTTGGTCGATTGCGTCCGCAGATGGACCTGTGACGATTCCGTCATCCACATGGATCCAGATTGTGATATTTCCTGTCGGACAGTCCAGTATATAAACACTGCCATCGTATTGGGAGCTTTTATAACCCAGCGCAGACAGAGTCGAGGATAGGTGCTTCCACCAACATCTGCCAGCCTGCTTAGTTCCGTAAAGGGCTTTCTTCAGGAGGCATGCCGATCCGGGGGGCACTTGCATACCTTCTGGCGCCGCCACCCAGACTTCCTCGTCGATGGGAGAATTTAGGTAAGCCGCGACGAAGTCGAAGCAGTGGACAGGCCAATTGTTGATAGCAGCCACGGACAAGATGATTCGCATGGACATGAACGTCGCGGTGGGGGCGAAAGTACCGTTGAAGTTCTCACCCGCTACTTGGGTAAAACCCTTGGCGACGTATCGGGCCTTATATCGGTCGACGATCCCGGCCGAGTTCAACTTGACAGCAAAAACCCACTTAGCCCGTAAGACATTTACGCCACGCGGGACGGGTCGTACCTCCCAAACGCCTAACCGGTCCAGGTTGCATAATTCCTCCCGTATCGCTTCGAGCCAACGGGAAGAGTCGGCGTGTTTCGCTGCCTGTTTGTAGGTGCGAGGGACGGAGGCATCAAAGAACTCGGGTACGGATTCCGTAAGGTCGTCTACCAGTGAGTCCTGTTCTAAAACCCGTAGTTCGTCCTCGAAACTCCCAAGCTGAAGCGACATTATGTCCGCGAAGGAGAACGTCGCATGTTCCTGTATGCTGGAAGGAAAACCGACGAAAGTGGCTACGGCGGATTGAACATACGATTGTAGTTCGGGGACCCAAAACCCCCACCCTTTGGAATCCGGAAGGTATGAGACGACATAACCCCGGACGGCTCGGTCGTCCAACTTCCGGCGCTTCTCGACTGGAATGTGGATGAAGGCTACTGCCCCGAACGGCCGGAGCCGATCCAAATTTGGTTTCCGGTTGAAGAAACGTTCGAACGGGGTGAGTTCTCCGCTCGCAGCGTTGGGAATTCTGTTCAAGGTGTAGCAAGCCCAGACAAAAGCCAGGCCCCAGAAGGGCTTGGGCAAGGTACTGTCCAGTAGAATCGTACGCCCCATGTCTTGAAGCGTACGGTTGTATCGCTCGATCGTGCCATTTTGGTAATGGTGGTAAGCAATCGAACGCTCAGTGGAGATGCCTTGAGAGGCAAGAAAAGCGGATAGTGCCTTATTATTAAATTCCCCCCCGTTGTCCGAACGAAGAATCTTGAGGCGCCTGCCCGTCATCGTGGCCAGCCGAAGCACCGTGTCGATGATTACCCCCGTAGAATCCGATTTCTTAGGCAGCACCTTAATTTCGCAATAGCCCGACCCGATGTCCCTTATCGTAAGGATGTACAGTCCGCCGCTGAGCGCGGGTTCCTCAAACGGTCCGACCAAGTCCACATTCCACGCGTCCATCGGCAGGAAAGAGCGGCTATCAGAAGAGAGAGTGTTTCTGTTGATGCTTTTGGAGATGAGACACGCGCCGCACTGAATGTCCCCAGACGGGAGGCTCTTAGGCAAACCAAGAGCGACGCCAAGATTCATCATTCGCCGAATGACACGGAGGCTGACATGGCCATACCGCCGGTGGACATGTAACAGTAACTCCTGATCCTTACTCAAAGACGTCTGTAAGAAAGGACGATCGGTAGCCACAGGGACTCGGATTTGGAAGGGATCAGGAGACTTAGCATCAGGAGCGTGTAACTCGGCATGGTCAGCCATGGGCTTATCAACAGAGTGTGCAGGAAGGACAGTAGTGATTGCATTGTCAATGGAGGGGGAAACAGTAGGGGGTAAACGAGTGACAACAGTAGGTGACGGAGCAGTGGAAGTAGCAACAGAGACAGGTGGATGACAGGCAGTATCAGGCAAAGGAGTGACAACGGTGGGTAAAGCAGAAGCAACGGGAAGAGAAGAAGAAAGAACGGCGCGAGGGCGCAAGGGATCAGGAAACAACCATTTGCGGGAACGAACATCTAAGTGACAAGATGCCCAGACATGATTGTGTAAAGAAATGTGAAATGAATCCGTGCGTTCATCGAAAGTGAGACCAAAACCCGCGAGTCGTAGGGCGACTGGCGAAATCAGCGTGTGTGCAGCATGGGGACAGTAGAGGACACCCTTAAGATGAATAAGAGTTGAGTTGGGACCATGAAAAGTCAGGGTTCCCTTGGCTGTAACAAATCGCGGAGTGCCATTAGTGGCGACACGCAAAGGGATGGGGGACTCTAACTCAGTAAAATCAGTCAATGCTAACCTATCGCCGGTCAGATGATGGGTAGCACCAGTATCAAAAAGCGAGTCGGGATTATCAGTAGAAGCAGTGAAAGAGAGATTGGAAAAGGAGGGTTGATCAGCGCCCCCCGCCACAGTGTCGAAGGCGTGGCCTGAGGGAGTCACCTCCTCGCTGGATACCTCGGCCTCCTTGGCCCCGGGCCGGTTAGCCGCGCCGCCAGGCTTGTTGTAAACCGGACGGTAGGAGTCGGCCGGTCGCAATGGCGCTGGAGGTGGAGGAGGAGGCGGGAGGTAAGGGGGGTACGGCGGGAAAGGCGGGGCCAGTATGGGATAATAGGCCTGGTATTGAGGCCCCATCAAACCTGGCGGCGGAGGAGGGGGCGGGACGCCGCGGAAGTCCCGGTGAGGGGCAGAAGGGATGAGGGGAGGGGCCGTACAGCTGGAAATGAGATGGCCGGTGGCACCGCAACGAAAACAGGTCCGAGGATTGCCAGGTGCTGGGGATTTGAAGTTGCCAGGCCGGCCAGCCAGGACGTAAACGTTGTCGGGGTGACTCTCGACCGAATCGCTTCGGGTCAGCGGTTGGGACTGAGCAATACCGCTAGAGAATCCAGAAGGGAGGGGATCACGGTGGCGATCCGATTCGCGTGCTCGGACCTTCTCACGGCAGGCGGTGAGGATGTCGATGTGGTCGTTAAAAGAGAGAGGTTCATCCCGATCAACAGACAGCTCGCGATCGATAGCCATGTCGAACTCGTGGCGGAGCTCCGTGCCATGCGCAATGGAGCAGTGGAGTATGATGGACATTATGGAGTCCGCAGTGATGTGAATACCCGCGTCCCGAAGGTCAGCCAAACGGTAACGATAAAGGGTAGCAACGGAGGAGGGTTCACTGTTTTTGTCGCAGGGAACCTTGAATAGATCCAACCACTTGTTCAGTTGCGCCGCCCTGCTGAAGGTCGTGAAACGGCGGCGCAGTTGTTGCATGATGGCGTGACTGGAACCAACATCGTACAGGTCGGCTTTGATGGGTCGGCAGACCGAGATGAAAAGGGCCGACTTGGCGAGGATGTCGAAGCGGTCGTGAGACCGATCAGCGTCGTACCAATCCTCCCGATTGAAGCACAACATGGCCAGTTCCCGTACCTCCCGAAGCCAGTCGCGGAAGTTGGACCCATCCTCGCGAAGCTTGTACTCGTCCCGGAATTGATTAGAAGCAGCATTAATAATCATGGCCCGGGTACGAGGGTCATCAGCAGGATGGAGGGGTTGGGGAACATCACGATAAAAGTGGGGGGCAGGGTCCCGACGTGGCGGAGGCGTGCCACCTCGATTGGCTCCATTGCCGGAGCCACCTTGATTGCCGCCAGAGGAGTCGGCAGAGTCATCGCCAGGCGGGGAAGGACTCCGGGCTGCACGCTTTCCCGCCGCATTGCCGGTCGCAGGTCTGGTGGTGATGTTGCTGGAGGTCGATCTGGTGCCGACCGGGGAACGGGATATGAGAGGAGCCATGGCAGTATAGTAGGGGAGTAGTAAGAACGGAAACCGGAAAAATAGCAGGGAGAGAATCTTGATACAGGAAAAATATAGCACCCGACAGAAGAGACAAAAGGAAAACACCCGTATATAAGAGAAAAACACCCGATTATAACACCCAGAGAGAAGGAGAAGGGAAACACCCGATAGACGAAAAACTATGTAGACCGCTAACAAACTAATTAACAAAGTGTAAGACTATTTATACGAGATATATGCTCATAACCTATTGAGGCACTGACACGGGATAGGGAAAAGTATGAATGTATTGGAATGCAATGAAGAGGAATGAATCAACAAACAAACAGAGAAAACTAGGTTGTATTTATATACATGTATTATGTAAATACAACATAGGTGTCGAGGTCGAGAAGAAATGACACGTGAGGGAAAGTCTTTGTCCAGGGAAAGTCTTGTGTCATGACTTTCCCTGGTCATGACGCTTGTCATGATGTAGCTGTGTGCGTAACACGTCATGTTACGTACATTTGCTACAACAGGAGCGTCACAAGATTTGAAATCCTGACGCTCCCTCAAAACTTTTTTGATGTTTGGTCTCGGATTATTAAAAACCTGCCTGATCTTATTGATCAGGCAAAATTTCAAAGTTTTAGAATCACAAAAACAATTAATAATGATTTTATCAAATCAGCATTTGAGCTTTCTTTTACGCTGACATAAGCGGTTTGATGAACTCGCACACGCCAAAAAAGCTCGACTTCAGTTGAAAAGTTGTCATTTTCAAAAATAACTACATCAAAACTCACAACATGACACCAGAATGTGAGCAGAGGGAAGAATGTACAAGAAGCAGACCCTCCTTGGGCCACAAGTAAACTAGATAACAGTGGAAGAAGAAGAGCATAGGCAGAAAAATGCACAGAAAACTGGGTTTCAAGCCTAATTTTGAAAACTCAGCACGCGGGGATTGCCGCATCTGTCTTAGGCCTCCACTGGCGTGGACAGCTCCGCTGCTCGCTCCCGCTCCCGCCATGGAGGCCTAGTTAGGCTCGCGGACCTGCTTGGCTCAATCTCGCCAAAAGCCCGAGGGTTCTCCCGCAGATCAGATGTTGCGAATCGCGATTTATCATCGGGCGCTCCGACTCAAAAATCCGACATAGGGGCGGATAGCAGGTGTCCGATTTAAATCTGCTGTCAGGTACTCCTTGTCTTCAAGTTCCACCAGGAGATGTGTGACATGAAGTGCTTGAAATCCTCAGCCCTTCGAATTTGCTCTCTTTCTCTGAGGGACAAAAAACGAAGGCACGAAATTTAAACTGGCCGAGAATCTTGTTTGGATGAGGTTATGAAAGTCGTACATCCACGGTCGATGTTTATGTGCCAAGAAAACTCTCCAGGTCTTACGGTCCATAAACCGGTCAGCTTGTTTGATCACCATGTATCTTGTGGGTTATCTTGCTTATCTATTAACCACCGTAGAGGTACATGGAATATGGATGGAGGTGCGTCAAACCTCCTCGGACACATATCGGTCGGAGTTTCTTGATCTTCTCCATCGATTTTAAGAAACTTTTTGAGTTCCGAGAAAGGTGCCGAGGATCGAATCTGATCGATCTACATAGTGGTGAGACGCCACGGCTTGGATAGAGTTTATGAATTAACTCCACATGGAATATCCTTGCACATTGAGTGACGATACCGATTGTCAGCTTCGAAGTGTTGCACAGTGCACACCAACCGAATAAAATAAAAAAAGAATATTTACATTCAAGAGATGATCGATGTTCGACAACCACTTGGTGCAAACTCGTTGTAATTCTTGTTCATAAAGGACCTCGAGTTAGACAAAGGAAGCACAGGTGGGTCAGGAATGTGGAGCCTTTTTACTTGCTCTTGATCATTATTGCGGTGTGTTCCACTAACTGATCAGTGTGGTTCTGTTTCTTTTACATATCAGGGACGAGATTGATTGCATACCAACCCAGCAGACTCCCAGCAGCTTCTAAACTTCATCACACTTCGACCAAACATTCTTCAAGAGGATCTTATCTTATAAGCAGAACACAACCTCGACGTTTGTTCGAACCGTCTTTTAACAACACTCCGCACGTCCTCACGTTTTGTGTTATTCCATTGGCAATTATCAAAACAAAGTGGTAGAAGTCAAGGGAAAGGGGGTTGAAGATGGAGGACCCAAACAGTATCCTTGACACCGATCTTTATAAGGTCGGATTCCCCTCTTTCAGCATGCTTCAAACGAAATAAATAGCTCACCTGGTCTAATGACAAACTTTTTTTTTACTTTCGGTCATGTAGCTGACTATGCATTATGTAGTCTGGTCACTCTATCCTGATGTTCATGTCACTTACGGCTTCATCAATCGCTCAAAATCAACTCAACCATTCACTCGCTCGGCTTACCAGAATCTTTGTAAAAGGATTGAATGTGCGTCGACTTGATGGATCACGCTTTCTTTTTTCCTGATAAGACGAAATGCATTTCCGTGAAAGATCGTAGTAATCGACAAACTTCAAGTTAAGTAATGAATTGATTTTTTTTTTGTTTCTGAAACGATTCAGGCTTGAAAACAAGAATATTAACAGACGAAGAGAAGGATTGGTTAAGCTTGAAGTGTGGATTCTTTCCAAGCAGCTATCTTGATTATTTGAAAACTTATCGATTCAGACCAGATGAGCAACTTGAACTCAAGTTTCATCCCCACAAGAGCTCTTCAACAACTGGAACAGAAAACGGCCAGCCGACGAAGAGCGATGATCTTGTAGAAAATGGGGCCGTATCAGAAGACGCAGATGAGGAAGAGAAGGGCGATCTAGAGATCTTGATCAAAGGGCTTTGGAGCGATACGATACTCTACGAAGTGCCATTATTGAGCATGGTCAGTGAAGCATATTTTGAGACGGTGGATCGGGAATGGAGCTATGAATCGCAAACGGAGAAGGCTAAGTCGAAAGCAGAAAAGCTGTTCTCGGCCGGCTGCAAGTTCTCTGAATTCGGCACCCGACGACGGCGATCCTGGAAGACCCAATCCATGGTGATTGAAGGGATCAAACAGGTAGTCGACAACAATCCGGATTATATGTTCTCTACTTCAAACGTCTGGATGGCTCGTCACTACAACATCAAGCCCGTCGGAACCATGGCTCATGAACTAATCATGGCTGAAGGTGCTTTGGGCGGCTACCAGGGCGTTAACATGCGGGTCTTGACTCAATGGGAAAAATGTTTCCCTAATAATCCTGAGCTCTGGATTGCATTGACAGACACATTTGGTACCAGTCTGTGCCAACTTTCTTGAACATCTTGACCTGGTCCCATTAACTCGAAAATTAAACTAACATACAGCTCTATTTCAATTTCTCAATATATCTCTTCGTTCTATCTGGAATAGAGCCCTTCTTTGATGAATTGGTCAAGCATCCCGAAATTGCTACAAGATGGACTGGGATTCGTCAAGATAGTGGAGATCCTGAAACGTTCGCTTCAGATGCAATCAAGGCTTGGGAATTGATTGGAATTGATCCTAAGACAAGTGAGAACCTTCTCTATTATCCTATTGTCGTTTGTGAATCTTGCTGTTGATTTCCAACACCAACTCTATCACGGTGGATTGGATAGAATTTATGATATTCTCTGATGGACTTGATGTCGGAACGTGTTGTCAACTTCGTAAATTTTGTGAATCGAAAGGTTTGAGAGAAATCTATGGAATTGGAACGCACCTAACAAACGGTAAGTCAGCCTGTAAAAAAAAGCTAAACCCATTATCATCGAAGTGATGTCCATTATTTTGAATGCATGATTACTCGCTGTTTGCTCTGTCTCTATTCCTCATTTGGTGTCACTAGATTTCCTCAAGGAAGATTCTAGTACTAAAAAGGAGGTGAATGGTCAGAAAATTCAATCCAAAGCGTTGAATATCGTGATCAAGTTGCTCAGTGCGAATGACAAGCCTTGTGTGAAGTTATCAGATGGTAAAGATCTTCAAGCCCGATTCTCCTCTCCTCTGCGGAGAGATCTTCGTATATTGAAAGTACTGATTCGCGTCCTTCTGACTGGTCTCAATAACTCTCTGCCCCCCCCCCCCCAAAAAAAAATGATTGATTAAATCCAGTGATCGAGAAGGCGATAGGGCCTCAAGAAGAGATCGATAGGATCAGGTCAATCCTCCACATTTAAGGCACACAAATCGGGCAAACTATTGGAATAGCAACGGATACGTGGAAGGTATTTCTAGAAATGTAATAAAACCAGCAGTCTCATGTCCCATCAATGTAATTTTTTGAATCCTAAGCAATCTCAGATCGAAGCTCTCTCAAATTCCACACAGAGTTCCTTCGTTTCTTATTTTTTTTTTGAGAGGGTAGACGGGCTCTGTTGGTAATTGTATTAGTATGTATCTGACAAGAGAAAAACCGTTGTTGGTTGCCATGTCTTAAAGCGAAAAAACACCCTCCTCACATTTTTTCTGCGGCCATAAATCAGAAATCAAGATCAATCAACTACACCGCGGGTGCAAAATTTTTTGAGTTCGACGTCAGCCGACTCTGGCTGGGCAGTAGACGTCAATTCCTGAGCAGCTACGGCTGATCCCTGTATCACAAAAGCCTGAACGGCCCACACCCATCTGCAGACAGCCCCCACACAGCAAGCCCCCAGGCTCACAACTCCTGGCTGTCATGACTGAGATCCCGTCCCCATGCGGGCTCGGAGACGCTGCCAAGACAGCAGAAAATCCTACCCGTCTGAAGCGGTCTAAATAAATGAGGCACATCTGGCAGTCGGCGTATCTACCGCCCCGCACCAGCGGGCACCATCACTCACAGCATCTGCACGGTCTAGCACAAAAGGAGAACGGGGTCTCTGTTGGGAACTAACCACTCAGGCCTGCAATACCCACCGCACCCTCTGCTCACTGGGAGAGGCGGTGTGATCTCCGTTGTGTATGCAGAGGCTCTGGGTGATCTACCTTCACAAACCGAGTGTTGATCATTGCCCCGTACTTATTGACATGCTTCAGCTTCAGTGTGAACACTTCAGAATTTTTCTGCAGCCACACCACCATCAACCCATCACATTATTCCAATTTCTCCAACTGTTTCCCAGGCAAAAAAACAACCAACATTCCCCCACTGCTAACTTCAATTCCACCCAGTACTATTGCAGATGTCGACCACCATATTCAACCATGAGCAGTAGCATTGAGGGCAATGGATGCTTTGCACTGTTGAGTGTGAGTACTGACCCTGACCTTGCCGAGGCTTTTGATGAAGCTGACATTCTAGCAATATGTTTGGCAGCATTCTTTACTCCGATATAGACTTGAGTTCATCTAACCCCCCATCGAGGAGGAGCTCATGGCCCAATTTGTCTTGATGGCACAAAAACGACTGGCCACAACTGGCCACTACAACAACCAACACAGGATCTGGGGACGAGTGGTCGTCCACAGCTGGATGCACAACCCAATCTTTTCATATGTTGGCCCTCTGTTAGCTGTTCAAGTTCGCCCTTGAGGCAATTTTTTTAAATGTTTCATTTCACCTTGTGACCGCTTTCTATTGCTTCAGGGGGTTGGTATCGAGTGCCGTACCTTGCCCTTCGCAAATCTAATTATAAACATACATGTATATTTGTTCAATCTTTAACATACGGTGCCCCCCCCCCCCGAGAGGGATAGATTCGTAGTGCATGCCGTCGGCGGCACCAAATGCATGCATTGATCATGCCTTTGGCCGGGATAGACTGTCTCAACCCTCAGCCCAGGCCACTTGGTACAACAGCCAGACAGTCGGACCATGCGTCATGTGTGTGAGCTGGTCATTTGCGTGTACTTCTCCGCTAGATGACGGCCCTCTTGGCAAAGCACGTTGTTGTTGCAGGGCAGCGCTGGTTGGGAGACGGTTTCTAAGCTACGTCTGTGGACGAAACTGCCCGACGAGCCCAAGCGGTCACTTTTGAGACGGCTCCTGGTGACCGTCATTCAGACCTTGTACGGAGCCCGTGTATGGGCCGTGGGGGCTTGCGCGGAGGGTCCTGTCTCCTGACGGTCAAAAATGACTGTCGCACTGACGGGATTCTGCACCCGGGGTGTAGCCTTGGAAATCAAACCAATGAAAGTGTTTGGAAAACTCCTGAGAGAACAAAACAAAAGAACGGACCCACCTGGGCGTTTATTTTTTTACTAGCAATGGCAGTTGATCACGGAGCGGCGAATGAAGACATTTTCCCCTCTCTTTTTTTTACTGATAGATTGTCCACAGTTACTTGTATTTGTTTCTGAGCCTAGAAACAGCTCATCCAGGTCAAGAATCTGATCAAATCAAACCTAGTCCTCTCCTCCCACAAGGCATTAAATATGCATGTAGTTCAAGTGATTAAATTGCTCATACCAGAGAGCTAAAAAAATGTCTTAGCTAAAAGAATAGATACATTGATCCATCGGCCTTGAAGTACCGCTTACATTGGTATAGTTTACTGCTTCCTTCTTGTTTTTTTTTTGGAACATACGTATACAGATAAGTCATGCGCTAATCCTGGTGTATAAACAAATACATAAAAAGGCAGATCGAAAATGAAAAGTGATCATTAGGGAAATCAAAATGATATCTTACAACAAAAAAGCCTGCCTTGAAAGAAGAAAATAAATGAGATTTGGTGGGGTTTTTTTCCCTCATGTAATGATTCCAGGTATGTATATAAATACCAGATTCATTTGTATGTCTATAGACAGATAGCTACACAGATCAGCCAAAGAAATGGGATTGAAAGCTTAACACGATGAACCTCGATTTTTGTGGGCGGTTGGATTAAGAACTCGATTTCCGTTTGATGGCCATCAGGAGCGTCGTCCAGGCCATAACCAGACACACAAACGCGATGGTAACGTTCAAGAAGGCCATGACGTCGTCTGTTCAAGTCGACGAAAGAGACAGAGAAAGAGAAGGGATCCAATTAAATGAGTGATCCGAAGACTAGAAGAACTGGGGAGGAAGCAGGGAGCTAGGTTTACCGAACCGGTGACGGATAGCCGCAAAGGAGATTTCCTCGACGCTTTCGACGAAGACGAGGCCGCCGGCGATGAGAAAGACGGCTCCGAGGGCTTCGGAGACCGGCAATCGCGGCCTGTCCGCGTCGACCAAGCCATACGTGATCCAGCGCATCAGCCCAAACAGTGCCAAGAGGACGCCCCATAGGGTGTGGATGGCCACCTGGAACGGGTAGTCTTGGTGGTGCGCCGACATCGTCAGGCCGGTGATCGCGATGCACAGACTCGGGAACGGGTTCCCACTCTTCATCTTCTCCGGCTTCCCGAATAATAGCCCTCGGACTGCTCGGCTTTCTAACAACACTCCCACTAAGCCTCCGAATGCAAACCTGTTTCAATCGAGAAAAAAAATTAATTAAATATAGTGTTGTAAGCTTTTATAAGGTGATCATCATTCTTGGAGCAGTAAATTTAGGAAGCACGGACATAGCGGCGATTGAGATATGTTGGATTTGCTTGACCGTATAGGGATCTCCAGGCGCAGCGCCAAACCTCTCCATCCAGACATTAGTGACACCATAGAAGAGGACCACGCCGCTTTCTACCATCTCTGCAGACGGCGCCCGTCTCTTGTTGCTCTTTTGCGCCGCCTGGTCGTGCCATGGCCACCCGAGCTCCGGATAGCCGCCTAGATATCGCGTCCAATTCAGGATCCCATACCTGACCGTATGTAACATATATTGGACATCAATCAATCAAAAAAAATCCTGGTGATTATATCGATTTTAATCGACTTCTGATATTTCTTCTTTTTGGGGGGGCAAGAAACTGACCAGAAAAAGATGCCGCCTTTGATGAAATGGGCCAAACAGCCATTCACATATTCGGCCCTACAAGTGCCGGTATACACCACTGTTCCGGAGCCGACAGCCGCGGAGGCAAGGACGACCAAGAGCCGATCAACCAGGGCTTTGAAGACCCCGGACAGGAAGCCGGGTGCCGAACCGGGCCGGGTTTTGGCGCTCATTCGCTCGGAAAAAGGAAGCTGATGATGGGATGGACTGTCAAGTAGGAAATATATTTAAAAAAAAGCCATGAATTGAGATGATGGATGTGAAGACGGTAAGGATCGATAGAGAAATACCGGGATACCTCTGTAGAAGCGATGGCGGTTCGGGCCGGTAATCGTCGCACGCATCGTCGGCTCCCGGAAGCGAATGGTAGTAGTCCGAAGGTCCCAGTCCACTCAGACCAGCTCGGACCTTATTCCAGAGCGGGACAAAGTCGGCGATCGACGAGATGCATCCGATGGAGACGAGGACCCTACAGAATGATGATCACCAGATGAGTCCAATTGATGCGTTTTGAAAAGAAGAAGAAGAAGGAACAGATAATGGACAGACCAGCCCATGATCGAATGTTTTTGTCCATCGTAATGGTTGGGCGTTAGGGAGCGATAGACAGTCCCACAGAAGATCGAGAGGCCCAAGAGGATGACAAAGGCGGTACGAAAGAAGGTCTTTGGCCAAGGATTCTTCGATTGCGAGGTCGCCAGAGCTACAAGAGCATCACTCGAGGGATCACGATGAGTAGAACTGGAGGAAGGAGGGTCCAGAAGGAGGGTGAGAACGAACATACCCAATGGCAAGAAGACAAACCATGCCAAGCACATTCCAAGGGCATGGCCGACGATCCAGGAAGGATATCTGTTCCTAGTAGTAGGCTCAGGGTTTGGGGCCAGACTGCCGGTGGCAGGGTCGAGGATGATGAGGTTACGATCATAGGCCAGATAGCTCAGCGGTGTCGGTTGGTGGGAGAGCAGGATTGCGGTCTCATTGAGATAGCTGCCCGCAGGTGCGTGATGGGAGGAGGAGTGGGAATGCTGATGCCGGATGGCGGTGGATGGATGGGACAGATTGGCGGACTGGCTTGCTCCCTCATGATGGCCTGGAACTCGATGGGCTGAGCTGAGGGGGAGTGAGCTGATGATGAGCAGGAATATTAAGGTTATGGTTGAGCTGGAAGACAGGCTTGATGGTGGTGGCCTGCTAAACCAGAGCTGATCAGGAGGGCCGGAAAGCTGGCCTCGATGACCCAGAGTGATGATGGCCATACTTACTATCGATTTGGGATTGACTTTGTGGTGATGGAAGATAAAAGAGAATACAATAGATTCCTATTATTATCTTGACAAAGTACTACCAAGAAGACTCATGAGCAGAGAGAAAGGCAAGCGCTCGAGTGCCATCGGGAGTGGAGCTGGCAGTCTACATAGTGATGAGAGAATGGCGATACGATGACTTGCCAAATACGACCCATCCTTTTAGCTTGATCGTCTGACTGACTGGCTGGATGCACTCCTTGCTTCCACCCGCTCTCCGATCCTCTTCATCCAGAGCCCAACTCCGGACCGATTTCAGCAGGGAGGAAAAGAGGGAGCAAGCGAATCCGGAGCTGCCATGTGCCCGAAACTTCGGCTGGGTGAACCCACTCATGATAATCGGATCACTCCAAACCGAGATAAGAAAAGGACGAACCTCCGGCCGAGCCGCTCTACCCTTCGGCCGGCAACTCCTAAAAAAGCCACGCTTGCGCTTCCCAGCAAAAAGCGGACCAACCACAGCGTCGACAGCTCTGTCCTGAGAGACAAGAAAACACTTTTGAAGTAGGAGGACGGATGATATCCAGATGCCGGCAAGGAACGCTGGCCATGCACGTGTCCTCGTCCAATTGCGCATGTTGTTGACGGTTTGACCAGAGCATGTTTCCATTCCAAACTCATCTTGGCTGGCGGGTACGAGACTGTACAAGGCCTGGCAATATGAGTGATGACACAAGCTGAAGTTGAACGACCCATCTCCCCTGGATTTGGTGAGGCCTACAAGACCGGTTTCCGTCTTTCCTGGCTGCCGAAGGGGGCCGGGCGGAGGGTGGGACCCGACGCCAGCAACCCTCTAGGGAGGCTCGTGAACGTGTTAAGCTCAGACGTCACTGATGATAGCCTGCCAGAGCTGAAGAGCTGTGTTATGTACACTCATTGAGCCATGTTTCGCCTAACGAAGAGGAAACAAAGTGGCCCACTCTGGCAGGCCGGGAGTGTTTCAGAGGGACCGGTCGGCAGGCGTCGGGTGGGTCCTCGGGGTTTGTGCCGGGAAAGCGAGTACAACGGAAAAAACGGAATGCGGTCGGATAGGCAGTCATTGCTGGAGTTGGGGCAGAATGAACGACCAGGCCACTTATGTTAGGCCCGCTTGAGGGTCGAACCCATGCAGTGCAGGAAGGTGGAGGTGTTAGAGCATCTCCAGCAGAGCCGCGACTGGGCGATTTTCAGCCCAAATCAGCGGCTCGCGCGAGAATTTCGGGGTCCAGCAGAGCCGGAACTAGACCCTCAACCGATCGCCCCTCACCTCGCCCCCGGCTAGAAGTCCAAGGCAATAGCCGCCTTGGAAGAGACCGGCTACTCCCCTCTTCGCCGTGTTTTCCTCAAGTCACACCACACCCCAACACACCAACACCACGATGCTCGACCCAATGCTTCAACAACTTGCTACGCCTCCTGCACAGGAATCATCAACCCTGCCAGTAGATCCTCTCCAAATTCAATCCAAACGACCTCGAGCGAGCCCGATAGAAGAAACGAATCGAAAGAACGACAAAAAACAAAAGAAAGAAGACAACACACCAAAAAACCCCCACTGGAGGATTGAAGAAGACAAGCACTTGTGTATTAGTTGGCTCAATACGAGCAAGGACGCCGACATTGGAACGGGCCAAAAATTAAGCGCTTTTTGGGAACGAATCCACGAGTACTTCATCAAGTTGAACGACTCGTACACGAAGACTCACAAAAACGATAAGAATTTCAAGCCCCTTCCGAATCGAGCGGTGGGTGCTCTTGAATGTCGCTGGGCCACAGTACTCCATCGCGTGAACAAGTACTGTGCTGCCTATGGGCAAGTTGAACGTCGTCTTGGCAGCGGGAAAACACGCGATGAAATTGTATGTTGTTTTAGTTCAAATCATTTATTTTCTGTCAGGTTGATTTTTTTTTTGTGGTTTTCTTTTTGTCTTTTCAGGCTGTTGAAGCGAAAGAACTTTTCAAGGCCGATCAAGGAATCAATTTTACTCTTGATCACTGCTGGGCAATTCTCCATAATTCACCAAAGTGGCAAGAGACGATGGACGAGATCGAAGCAAAGCCGAAAAAAGACAAAAAGAAACTTCAGTTACCAACTTCGGAAGCGAGCTCTGTGAAAACGACAACGGACGATGAGAGTCTTGATGTCGAGTGTTTTGGTTCTGACCGCCCCGAAGGACGAAAGGCTGCTAAAAAGAGAAAATATGAAGAAAATGAAGCTCTTGAAGGTCAAAAAGAACTCATCAAGATTTCCCAACAAAAGATGGAACTCATGCAGACTGTTGCTGATGAAGCCATCATGGGAAGAGATTTATCCAACTTAGATGATATCTCTCTTGCATACTATGCGGCTAAAAAGAAGGATATCGCCAAACGAAATGGCTTGTTGTAATTATTTTTTTTCTATCTTAATAAATCGCTCCTTGTGTGCATGTGATAGCAATCCAATCGTTCTCTTTCCTTTTCCGATCGTTCTCTTGCCTTTTCCAATCATTGTCTTTCCTTTTCTGATTGATCTCTTTACTTTTCCACTCTCATTTTCTTTTGGAAATAAGATTCACACTTGTTTTTCTTTGCAATTAAGATTTATCAGTGTTTCTCTTAAAGGTAGATAGATACATGGATAGAAAAAAACCTGATTTGAAAGAAAGACATTGATTTGATGAAAAATGAGCACAAAAAAACAGGTAGAGAAAAAGAGACAATTTTTGATTTGAAGAACTTGAGATAAAGAAAGAAAGGATCGGGAAGTAAAATTAATAAAAGTTGCCCTCATCTGAACTGTCAGATTCATCCACAACCGTTGAGTGATACATGCTATTGCGACGTCTAACCCTTTTTTCATGTAGGTTCCACTGGTGCTCAATCAAGTCTTCCTTGAGCTTTGAATGTGCGGAGGTACTCCTTATGGCTTGGTAGCGCTGAAGGAAAAGGTGGAAGTCGTTTTCGGATGTCGTCGTCGTCTGAATTGTTGAGGATGTGGTCGGCTGATCATAATCATGCATATTCTCGTAGTTGGTGTCCCGTTCGTCTTCTACAATCATGTTGTGCATGATAATGCATGCCTTCATGATGTAAGAAAGGTCTTCATGTTTCCACAGACGGCCAGGTTGCTTAATTATTGACCATCGGGCCTGTAAGATACCGAAAGCTCGTTCGACGTCTTTTCGGCAGGCTTCTTGATGTTTCGCAAAATTTTTCTCCTTGTCGTCACCTGGGAACGGTATTGTTTGGATAAGCGTTGCCCAGTCGGGGTAGATTGAATCGGATAGAAAGTAAGCCATGTTGTACTCGGTTGAATTGACCTTAAATTTGACCGGAGGTGCTTTTCCATCTTGAAGTTGAGAGAACAGAGGCGACCGATCCAGTATGTTCTTGTCATTAAGCGTTCCAGGCAATCCAAAGAACGCATGCCAGATCCAAGTGTCGTATGACGCCACAGCCTCGAGTACGATCGTTGGTTCTTTCTCTTTCCCAGAGTATTGACCGGAATAGGCTGTAGGACAATTCTTCCACGTCCAATGCATACAATCGAGCGACCCGAGCATTCCAGGAAAACCACGCTTCTTGGAAATCGAAAGAAGCCTGGCGATATCGGATTCGTTTGGACTTCGGAGGTACTCATCTGAGAAGATATCGACGACCGTCCGAGTAAAAAATTTCAAGCATTCCAGAGAAGTGCTTTCTCCCATCCGAAAGTATTCATCAAGCGAGTCGGCACTCGAGCCATAAGCAAGCATCCTCAAAGCCGAACTCATCTTCTGGTATGGTGAGAAGCCAAGCTGTCCTGCCGCGTTTCGCTTTTGAACGAAGTAGTTGTTTCTCTTGACAACTGATTCCATGATTCGTAGGAACAGGTCTCGTCGCATTCGGAATCGCCTTCGAAAAATATGTTCAGGGTATGTTGGATTCTGAGCAAAGTAATTGTCGTGTAGTTGTTGGTCTCCTTGAAGGCGTTTTCGGCTGAGGGTTTTCCTTCCTTTTTGAGATCCACCCCGTTGGGGCCGTCGAGCATCTAATATTTTTGAGGTAAGCTGGATGGCAAGATAGTCGTCGTCGTCGTCCATGATATTGAGTCGATCCATCGGATTCATCGTGGATGGCAGAGATGTCTAGTTGTCTACCACGAAGCTTGGCATCTTGACCAACCGCCCCCTGCTACCTATTGCCAGTCTGCTGTGGGAGCAGTGTGACAGGGCTGAGACAGGGGTGTGAAATGTGGTCCCAGGCCGCTATTCGGCCGGAAATCCACCCCGGCTCTGCTGGAGATGCTCTTAGTCCGAACTTATCACAAGTCTCCAGCTGCGGCGGGCGCATCTGGCAGCGTAGCGCTGGCCAGGCGGTTCCCGAAGGGAACTCCCCGCAGGGGAGACTTGAGCCAGAGGTCAATGAACTCAGGTGCTGAGTTTCTAGTGTTTTGGTGGGAGCGTCACAAGATTTAGAATCACGACGCTCCCTCAAGACTTTGAGAATGTTTGAGAAAATTTTCTTGAAGTGCTGGATGATCTTGTCAATCTATCCAAATTTCAAAACCAGGACAGCCCCTTGTAATTTTATGATGATTTTTTCAAATCATGGTTTGAACTTTTTTTAAGCTCAAACGCGGGGTTCGCTCAACTCGAACACACCAAAAGATGTCAACTTGAATAGAAAAGTTGTCCTTTTCAACAGCTTCTGCAAAAAAAATGACAATATAACAGAAAAAAGTGAGCAGTGAGAAGTATATGGAAGAGGCAGGCCCTCCCAGGCCCAGAAGGAAATCTGATAAGTATGAATGAGGAAGGGCCTAGATGGGAAAGTACACAAAAATCCTGGTTTTTAGCCCAAATCCAAAATCTCAGCACGCGGGGATTGTTGCATTTGTCATAGGCCTCCACTGGCGTGGACAGCTCCGCTGCTCGCTAACGCTCCCGCCGTGGAGGCCTACACGGCGGGGGGATTTTGCCAGGTGAATGACGCCCCCAGAGCGTCACTGGCAAGTTAGGGTCCCCGTGACCCGAAGTATCGTCAAGGAGACAGAGATGGGACCCACCGGTCCATGCGCCGGTTTCCAGAACGATTCTCCCTGAGTCACTCCGAGTTTCGTGACGGGGACGCTTCTAATGGCGATTCTCGTGATATCTCATGGGTCGCCCCGGTCCCCGCGACGCCCTACATTGAATTTTTTTTTGTTCCAGCAAAACATGTGCAATGACTTTTATTATCTTTGAGCCATCGAGAAAAAACGAAAAAAAAAAAAATGAAAAAAATGAAAAAATGACTTGTAATTTTTTTTGGTAAGCTAGATTAGATTGTTGGTGCTTCGAAAGAATGAGTACCGACCGGCAGCTTCGAATGTCAAGATCTTCATGCTTGGCACAGCGGTGGTCGCTTGGATCTCCTGACACTACGGGCAATTAGGTGACGCTCCCGGGCGGAACGTCACCTAACCCAAGGGGGGCCCCTTTGGGTTAGGTGACGCTGCGGGCCGCAGCGACACCTGTTTGCCTGTAGTGTGATCGGAAGCTGATCGAGCGGTCCCGAGTAGACTGGCAGGACGTGTTCGAGCCTGCTTCGGCGGAACATTTTTTGCTGAACAGGCGAGCCGGCTTTTGCGTACAATCTACCCAGGTGAAAGCGTCGCCGGTGCGTCCCGGGTGACGATGCTGCCTCCGAAGGCAAAGCGTTTCCGAAGCGTCATGACAACCCGACGTCTTGCTCGACGCACCCATGTTGCTCGGTCACAGTTGCGCTTCAGTAAGCGTCGCCTTGGTCACTGTGACGCTCGAATCCCCCCGCCGTGTAGTTAGGCTCGGTGTTAGTCCAGCCCGCCGCTCCGCCCTCATCCCAAAGAGCTTCACCAGTCCAACTAGGCTATCTCACCGGCTTATATGATTTCCCTCCTCCATCGAGGAGTACATATACCCCTATGAACCCGGTCTGAAGACTGGCATTTAAAAAGTCTACCGTCCAGCCTGTCTTCGGCCCACAACTCTGTTAACCCTCATCAAGTCCAGACACAACACAATCACACATCATCAATACATCAATATATAAATATCTCTTTTGCTTTGTTCACCATTCCATTAACCACTGTACATACATACTTACAACCAATATCAAAGGTCCCTCCTGCATCCCACTCAAAAAAAAAACAATCAAATGTTTTGATTGAAGCATGGACTACATATTGTACCTCTGTTCACATCCAACAACCACAGATCAAATGTCCAGACCTTGACATCCCCACAATGTGTACACACTTCTCTACAACACATTCATTTTTCATTTTTCATTTTTTTTTTTTTTTTTTTCATGTTTCATGTTTCATTTTTTTCAATCATCGATCTTGGATTCACAACATTGCTCAACCCAGATAACCACCCATCATCAAACCAAAAACAAACCAAACGAGACCCAAAAGCAAATCTCCAAAAAAAAAAAAAAAACTTCTGCCCTTCCGCCCCTCTCAAAAAAAAAAACAAGTTTAGATGTTGCGGTTCAAGAAGCTCTCAATAACGCCCAAATTAGTGAGCGGATAATCGAGCAATTTGACGTCAAGAGGATGATCGGGATTTTGGCCATCAGAAGAAGAAGGAGGATCGATGATGGTGGTATTAGGCTGGACGAAGATCTTCCGGGCTTGTTTCTTCTTGATCACCAAGTCTCTCAATTCGGTCTCCCATAACTGATCCGGTGGGGTCGTCAACTCCGTGTAAAACTCTGTCGATTCGGCCGCATACCATGTACACACATCATGGGTTGTCGCTCAGTCAGCAAAGTTGGTCAGGCAAGAAGGAAGGATCGATTGATTCATCGGGAAAAAAAAAATGTTCTCTCACTTTCCGCTCCTTTTGCATCTGCAATCGATTTTCTAATCTGGATCTCTACCAAAAGTCTTCAAAAAAAAATAAAAGAAAAATCAGAGAAACTCCTCAAATTACAGTCCAAACAGAAAAAAAAAAGTGTATGTGAGAGAACAAGGAAGGCAGAAGACCTACTTTCCAACAATTTCCTTCCCATGCTCCAAGACTTTTTGTTTATCCACTCGGATATAAGCGTCTTGCAGTTCATGATTCTCTGGGTTTCGGACTTGTTCTAAGCTGGCCAAGCCATGATCGATCATCCACTTAGTTATCCCAAGCTTTGGATTCATTTCCATAGAAAAAAAAGGGAAAGTTTTAATGAGTTATTGAGAAGTGAGGAAGCTACAAAAGAGAGAAAGAGAGGGAGGAACTGACTCGGGCTTGCATATGCGCTTGTCCGTGTTTCTTAGTCTGTGGATCGTACCATTCAAGAGCTCTTACACCAGCCCGAGCCATCTATAAACAGAGAAACAACCCCCCAAAAAATATCAACCACCCCTCAAACCTAAAAAAAAGAACATGAAACAACAGCTTACCAACAAGAAAGTCATGTATTGAATAGTCTCGATATCTTCCTTCTCCTCATACCCAAAGATCTGTCCAGAAAACCCCCACATAATTAAGATCCAGACCAGAATCGAGTTGGTTGGGAAGATGAGAAAGGAGAGGAACAGACCTTCAAGATCTCGCGGTTCGAGCACAGATAAAGCGCCACCGCTTCGGCCCGACACTCTTCCATCGAGCTGGCGACCGTCCCGAACTTGGAGCCATAGGTCTCTCCCGGCTTGTACCATGACTCCACAGGCTTGCCCGTCCTGTTTACATGGGTATAGGTAAGCTTCTGGTGGTGATACCTTCTTCTCTGGTTCAGACAATCGGCTCACAATGGATTGATCGTCGTTTTCCGATCAAAACTGAATCCCCCCCAGCATCATCATTTTCACATACCCCAAAAAATACCCCTAATCAACAACAACAAAAAAGAAGTGTTGATGTTAAAAGAGAGAGAGGAAAAAAAAAGAAGCTGAACTTGAAAGTGCCATCTTTATTCTCAGTAAGTTGTTTGCCACTGCCATGGCCCAAGAGCTCATGATTAGCAACCTGGAGATCGAACGTCTTGGCGTCCCATTTCGCGTACATCTCGCGCTCGCTGGGATGGATGAATGTGATCTCTTCGTTCGCTGCTTTGGCTGACAAAATATTCACCCTTTTATTTATAACCTCGTTTCGGTTAGTGTTTCATTCTTGGATTAGATTGATGTAGATTTTTATTTGCTTACAATGATACATTCTTGAACCCAGTAGATTCTCTGACATCAAAATAACTGGACAAAAAGAGAGAGAGAGAGAGAAAGCCTGCTCAGAATGTACCCGCCTTGTCATACCAAAAAAGAAAATACAAACTTTGGGATATTAATACCAGCGGGGATTCCACCAGTCGCAAAGCTGAGGATTTCGAGTGCGGTGAAGTCAGGTTTCCGAAAGACGTCGACCTCGAAGCTAGGGCCCCAAGGCAAAGAGCGGACGAGATGTTGAGCATTATGAACCAAAAGCTCGAATTTCTGGGAGAGTTCCTTATTGACGATAGCGGTGAAGCCTTCCCACTCGGCGCGTTGCGCAAAGGGGTCGACATAGGACTCGATGTGGCCGAGATAAGACTCGACGACTGGCGAGAGATCTTGGACCCATTTGATGCTCGCTCGCTTGTGGGCCTCCATGTCCCCCTCTCGGAAACAGCGGACGTATTCTGCGATCATCTCTGATCTTAATCCACTCCCGCAGTACTTTTCGGCCTCTTGGAGTGCCTCGCATACTCTCGTGAGCGGCCCGCTGAAGTCCGACGGCTTCAGATGGACCGTCAGACTCGGCTCGCTCGTCGATCTGAGCGGCGATCGAGGGAAGAGCTCCGGCGATAGAGTGCTGTTGGCTGAGGCGATTAATAAACTGAACTCGGTCGATGAATGCTTGACTAATCTGAAAGTGCATCCACACATTATAATCAATCTTGTTGTTGTTATTGTTTCTGATCACATGAAAAGAGAGCACAAAAAACCTGGTATTGAGAGTGCTCAATTGATGAGCATCGCAGAGCGCCTGGACCTGGTTGATTTCCTGATCGGAGATATCGGGGGAGTCGGGATAATAGTTCGAGAGATGGCCGGCGGATGGTTTGCCGATGCATCCAAGATCCCCTCCGGTTCTAGACTGTAGATCTCGTGCTTGACGGATTGCCATAGGAGGGTAGCTTGAGCTGATCGTTCGGAGGCTTTGATCAATGCTTCGAAGGTCGAGGCCGGACACCTGGGGATGAATTTGGTGGCTCCGAAGGATTTGTAGTTGGTTAGATTGCAGAGTAACTATGCGTATTCGGTCAGTTCTCCAGTGGGATTGATGGATGGATGAAGATGTGCACTATTAGAGCTTAACTTGTGCGGAGTAATCTAGTGCTTGTTCCCATTCCTCTGTGTTCAGTTGGGCGTTCTCTCTGAGCGATTCGAAGCAGGCTGGTTGAGTGGGATCGGAGTGTGAGCCGAAGAGAGTGAGGATGAAGTCGTAGAGTTGTTCTGATTTAGGAGTCCATTGGTTCTGAATTCCACAGTCAAGATAGATACAGATCTGGTCAGTTTGAGAGTTGTTTAGTTTTCTTTTCTTTTTAAAGAGAGATCAATTGTTTACCATGATGATCCTTGCTCCATGCCATGATGCTCTGCTCATCCAGTGCGCATACAGCCTTTCCTCTCGGCTCAGTCGGCTGAAGCTGGCCGAGACATTGAGTGAGCAGATCGGTGGGTTGAGGTCTGCCTGGTGTCGATCGATCTTCTTCTGAATCTGAATCTGGGTTGGAGTTGAGTAAGCGATCCTAGTGATTCTGAGTCTGGTGCTGAATCTGATCGAGTGCTGTGAGAGTGGCTTAGTCAGTCTAATTAGCAGTTGGTTCTTCATCGGTTCTTTTACCATCTCCCCCCTTGCACAGCAGTCAAGCACCCTCCCTTAAAATGAGCCTGATTCGATTCACTCGGTCTTACTCTACAACCACTACCGCTACTACCACTACCACTACCACTCCATCGACCGTCATCAAGCACCAGTTCATCCATCGCCAAACCAAACCCAAGCTAACATCCTCAAACGACATCCAGTTCCTCCCACCCGCCAAATTCACACTCTCCATCATCTCACTCTCCTACAACAGACCGAATGTACATGCCCTACTCAGTCAGAGCTGGCCAGCCAGCCGATCGATCAGGCACATCGACCCCAATCAACTCTTCATCCTCACTGCCATCCCCGCTCGATTCGTCAATCAAAACCAACCCATACCCAATCACATTCATACCCTCAGCTCATGCTTCTCTAAACAAGACCAGGAGCGTTGGAAGGAGCGCAGGATCGAGAAACAGAAATCGAAAGCAAAACCGACTCATCAGCTTCGACTCACCTTCTCCCTAAGGATCAAGGAACTCCATAAATCCGCTGTCATTCGCAAATCGATCCGCAAACGATGGATTGCCGCGCTCAAGTTGATCGTCCAATACGGCGCTTCTTCATCTCGCTCGACTGAGTGTACATCAGCTGCTGCTGCTGCTGACCCGAAGAAGAACTCTGCCGAACGAAGGAGGACTGAAGAAGAAGAGGTCAGAATAGACCCCGCTCAGGCCGGCTTCCATAGATGGCTCGACCCCGATCACTATTACATCGTCCACCCCACCCTCGCACTCAATACCGTCGGCCTCCCTCAACTCATCAGAGCCATCCGGGAAGCGCTCCTTGCCATCCATCCCATCAGTAACAATCCAAGGCATTCAAGAGACACACCATCTAGCACTCACCCTTCCCGGAAACCGTTCCTGGGAACGACTCACGTCGCTTCTAGTCCTCAGTCTCAATCCGGCTCCTCCTCCAGAACTAACAATCAACACGCTCCACCAACCCAATCGAATCCCTTCATCATCAAGCCTCAGACTCATTCTCTAATCTCCGAATCCCCATCCAGAAGACTCCCTTCAAAGCACCCGCAATTCATGTGCCCACAACACTCCCAATCCAGTCCTGCTTCATTGAACAAGCCTCGGAATACTTCAACCGGATCGAGATCTGATCACCCGCCACCTTTTTCACCCCCAAGAAGACGACTCCCTACAAGTGATCCGAAATTCGTGTCCCCTCAACCCACCCGATCCGGGCCGCCTGCTTCAGTCCACATGAAACCATCTGCTCCGACTTCAGTCATCGGGACAACACCTGAAGATCACTCGCTGAAAAGCTCACTGGAACCCCCACGAAAAATCCTGCCAAGTCGGCCAATCTTCACACCCCCAAAACAGAACCTTCCCACTACACTTTACAAGCCTCGAATCTCGTCGACTGGGCCTGGCTCGCATCATCACAGCTCCTTTGAACCACCACCAAGGAAAATCCCGTCAAGTCAGCCAAAATTCATACCCCCTCAACAGAACCATGCCACTACTCCTACTTCTCTTCACATGCCCAGTCAAATCTCATCCACTGGGTCTGGCTCTCATCATCGGAGCTCCTTTGAACCACCACCAAGGAAAATCCCGTCAAGTCAGCCAAAATTCATACCCCCTCAACAGAACCATGTCACTACTCCTACTTCTCTTCACATGCCCAGTCGAGTCTCATCCACTGGGCCTGGCTCGCATCATCGGAGCTCCTTTGAACCACCACCAAGGAAAATCCCGTCGAGTCAGCCAAAATTCTTCATACCCCCTCCACTCAGTCATAGTACTGCCACTACTACTCATCAACCATCTTCTCTTTCTCCACCAAGAAGACTCCCCATCCCACTCAAAAAATAAAAACTCTTTGGTTTTCTTTTTCCTTCTCTTTTCTTCTTTTTTGTTGGGGGGGGGGGATGATTTTACTTTTTTCATATGTCTTTTTTGGGATATCCAGATTGTGACAAGATGGATGTTTTTTTTTTTTTTTTTTTTTGGGGGGGGGGGGGGGGGGGAGGGGATTGATGGTTGTGATACAAAAGGAAAAAAAAAAAGGATTCACAAAAAAGAAGAAGAAAAAAAATCAATCTGGAGAATCCTTGTTGGTGAAGGAGACGTCATCTATGATGATGTTGGGTACATAGAACACCCAGATGGGTTAGTTAACAAGCCATCTGTCCGAAGCAGGTGGACAGACAAGGACTACATTGTATTTATATGTATCACTGTGAATCAGGACTGATCTTGTCTGATGCTGCTGGGCATTGAAAATGTTGAGCTATCCTGTAGTATGTATTACAGTCTGTTTTATGTTATAGCACTCAACTCCAATCACCTTCATTTTTAAGTCCAGACACACCAGAATCGCTCAAATAAAGATGTGTTTTTCTTGGCTCATCAATCAATCAACCGCTGTCCAGTGGGCGGACTGTTATTTTGGACTGCTCAGTGCTTGTGTTGGAGGCCAGAGATTCTCTCTCAAAGCACATCCTGAAAGTCACTCAAGACTTGGTGACGTGGTGCAGAATAGGTCCTAAAGAATGAAGATGAAAAAATAAATAAAAAATAAAAAAAAATGAAAAAAGTTTCAAAATCTGTGAAAAATTAAAAATGGGGTTTTGTTATTGATTTCGGGGCAGTGGGAGTGCTGAGAGAAAGAAAGAGTGGAAGTTGAACATGGCAAGAATGATTATAAATTGGGACTTAGTTAAATGACTCCCAAAATTTGGAGTTCCAACTCCCAAATTTTGGGGATGTCCTGAGGACTGTCTGCGGACGGTCCTCTGGACTTCAGGCCCCCCAATATTATTTCCCCCGTTTTTTGGGAGCTGGACCTCCAAACCCTTTGATTGGTTTGGGAGTCGGCTCCCTAAAAACATAATACTTATATTAGTTTTATTTTTTCAAACCCCCTTGGGGGTTTTTGGGATTCAATACTCCAAAACCCCAGGGGGGTTTGGAGTTGGCGCTGAAAAAAAAAGAAAAATATCAGCTGGGAAAATTCCTCCTGACCGTTGAAAGGCTGCACTCTTGATGGCCGGGAGGAATCATCCCGGCCATTGTTAGGCTACAACCTTGACGGTGTGGTATACCTTAAGGGTAGCCATCTGGCCCATTTAAAATTTTTTACAGTTTTTTCTTTTATTACAAATTACATACTTTTTTACACCTTTTTTTCTCATATATACACTCACAAATCACCCAATATGGCTCAAGAACTGGATTCTGCTGTCAATTTCACCCTTGGTCACCACTGGAGGCGTCACTGGAACCCAACTGGATTGGAAGCTAACACTCTCTGGACCATCACCACACTCAATTACACAACTCACCACCATGACAACACTTCAACACTCAACACCAACAACAAATTACATCATTCACACTACACACATGCACGTTGCAGGACAACTACATACTCACATCATTATAGTACTGGTATACACACAACTACACTATCTTCTGACACTTGCTATATGTAGCTGTTAGGCTGGTCCTGTTGCTAGGTCACTTGTTAATCTTCCTTGCAGCTGTCAGACTATCTCACATCACTCATGTATTACTCATCACATCACCTTAGCTTGCAGACTAGTACATCACCTCATGTAAAATGCTTCACCAGCATAAAACCCTCATGTAGACTTCTAGTTCCAGCTAAAATAACTCTTATGACATCATGTAGGTTGCTCAACCAGCCAAAATACCTCATGTACATGTTCTGACTAGCTAAATCCCCTCATTGTAAAGCTCTGGCCAGCTAAAATCTCTCATTCTCTTGTTCCCCTGAAGCTAAAATCCCTCACCTTTGTGTATTTAAGAGGCTCTCCTCTCAGTTGTTTTCCCCTCAGTTTAGTATCCACCTATTTCATACCCCCTACCCTTACAAACCCTTACATACCATTACATACCATCCCCTTATATTGAAATATCAGCTAGACTCACTCTCTCACTCTCAAATCAACCCTTTAGACCCTTATAAAACTGGGTTAAACCCTTTATCCACCTGTTAAGCCACAGTTATCTTTTGATACACTCCACTATCACTTTATTAAACCTTCCAATCTTAGATTGGTGGGCTTGTCTAGTGTCTAGTGATCCAGGAAAGGCAGAGGTATCCTCATTCATCCCTTTCCACACTCAGCAAAAGGTTTTCACAAACACTTTTGAGCTTTACAAGGGAGTCCCCAACGTGATAGAGGATCCTGTAGTTTGGCAAGTGGATTAGATATATCTAAACCATTGTAGTGATTTTTATAGTTTATTTTAGTAGAATTTTAGTTAGTTTAGGCAGGAAAATTCCTGTTTTGACCACGTGACAAACCATATCTTTGAATAATCACATTCTGTTTAGCTTTATACGACTTAGTTCTTAGATATACCTAGTAGAACTCCGGATTAAGTAGTTAAATACTCAAGAATCAATTATAAAGTAGAAGACGAGGGGACCGATTAGCCGACGTACTAGAGTAGTTAGGATAAAAAAGTTTAACTACCAGGTGGTAGCCGATTAAAACTCAGTGCGAAGTAGAATACTAGTCTATGACAACCTCCACGAATCTATATAATTGAATAGTAGTATCATATTATTTAGTTTTATTAGTATTATTATTAGTTAGTAACCAAAACCCCCCAACCTTGCCCTGGATAAAGAACACCAGCGACATTAGTTAGAAGAATTTAGGACTACTACTAGAAATTATCAACAACTCAACTCAAGATAAAGCAACCGGAATCAGTTATTTCTCAGTCATGGCGTTTTCCCAGGCTCAAGACGGACCGACTCTACCGACAACCAACCCAGCTTCAACTGGAATATTCTCTGGCAATCAAAACAATCCCAATATGAATATTGATCCACCAATAATACCACCTCTTTTACCCCCACCACCAATGCGAACAAGTCATACTCGAGTACGGCACTATCGTGAACGGTATGGGGCTCATCAAAACATTCACCAAAACGACGACCCAGCTGGCTCTGGGAACACTCAACAAACAAACTACCCTGCGGGAACCTACGGCTTACCTCCGGACATTCAGGAAATGGACGAGCCTATGCCTAGGCCTGCAGTCATCATCAAGGAACCAGACTTAAGATATGAAGGCGAGAACTTTGAAGACTTTTTGGAACGATTCGAACTGGCGGCAGAAATCTACGGTGCTGGCGGCTATGACAAAGCACGTCAAGTGTGTAGATTTGTGAAGGTAGAAGAATTGAAGAAGGAATTGGAATCGATGGACGGATACGAGCAGCGGAACTGGACACTTCTTCGTGCAAGCATGATAGAAGTCTGGGGAGGCGTGGCAAAGAAGATTCGGTACACGATCAAGGACCTTTACAATTTGATTGATTTCTGTCAGAAGAAAGGCGGAATCAAGCAGCTGAACGATTTCAAAACTTATCAGTCAAAGTTCATGATAATAACTAAGTATTTGGTAAGAAATGAACATATAGTAAATGAAACCAGTGTCTCTCACCTTTTCTTTTTAGCTTTTTCAACAGATATACAGACGAGCATTAATCGAGAGCTAGTCAAGGCAGACCTCATTCCTACAGGGAAGGATGGTTATAACAAACCACCCCTCCTTTCGGATGTAATTGATGTAGCTGAGGATGAAATTCGAGCAAGGTCACTTAATGTCTTTGCAGCTAGTGGATTCGCCGAGGCCAACCAATCGATGCAAAGGACTCTGGACCAGAAGAAAGGCGACGGAAAAAAGCGTGAGAAGATGATGGACGACAATCCTCCGGAAGTACTTCAGAAACAGGTTGATAGCTTGGCAAAAGCAATTGAGTCACTCACAGGAAAATTGGAGAATCAACCTAAAAATGAATATTCTCGTGTAAATGATCGACCATCTGGACGACTTTATGAACCTCGACCCTGTTACTATTGTCATAAGGAAGGACATTCAACCATAATGTGTTACGAAGCACAAAAAGATGAACGAGAAGGACTAGTCAAGAAAGAAGGACGTGATTTCTACCTTCCTAATGGCGAGAAAATTCCATGGGATCCTTCAAGACCTATTCGGGTGGTTGTGGCTGCGGACTCCGCAAAACCTAAACCTCAGATCACCAAAGTATACAGAACCGATCACCCATCAGTTTTTGAACAACAGACGGAACCAACACCCAACTCAAACGACTACGTCTCATCAATGCACAAAATTGACTGGAATCCACCACACCTAGGTTCAGAAAATTTTGACAAGGTCAAATCCAACGCAGCAACAACACGAGCAGAAGCGCTCCGTGGCAGAAGAAAACCCATGGCGGCAAACGATGACTCAGCAATGGATTTGGACCCAATCGATGAACTTGAAGAAATAGTGGAAGAAGTGGCAGCCACCAGAAAAACGCCTGGACAAATTGCGGAACCTCAAGCAAAACCAACTGTTCAGAAAACAGAGAAGACGGTTGAATCAGCCTTAGTCTCAGAGTTGGACAACTTGAAGATACCCACCACTTTTTCTCAACTCACATCAATTTCACCAACATACGCTCAAGAAGTAATCAAGAAACTTCAGAAACGAATTCCGGAACACAAAAATTCAAAGTTTACCTATGTAAAGGGACCAACGCAAGACTCCAAGGTATCAGCATCAATGCTTCTTAATCCAGAAGAAGAGGACCAGGACTACAACTGCTTTTATAGTTGTGCCCTAGGTTTCATTGAGACTCACATATCAGGAAAAAGGGTACCTTTCATGGTTGACTCAGGTTCCATGGTCAATGTTATTCCAAGGCAAGCGGCAATCGACCTTAATTTGGAAGTCATCGAAGTGGACATACCCATGAAGGGGATTGGCGGGGATCGTTGCGACATCAAAGGAGTAGTGGAAAATTGTGCCATCAG